TTTATTGCCAATGTCTGTAAAACTTAGATATTTGATGTTGTTCCAAAGTTGATTCATAAGTTCACAAAGTTTGACGTAGAAAGGTCACTGAGTATAAAATACAGTGTCTCTTTCTATTGCCAATGTCTGTAAAACTTAGATATAGGATGTTGTTCCAAAGTTGAATGTTAAGTTCACAAAGTTTGACAAAGAAAGATCACTGAATATAAAATAACAGTGCCTCTTTTTATTGCCAATGTCTGTAAAACTTAGATATTTGATGTTGTTTCAAAGTTGATTGTTAAGTTCACAAAGTTTGACAAAGAAAGGCCACTGAATATAGAATAACAGTGCCTCTTTCTATTGCTAATATCTGTAAAACTTAGATATTGGATGTTGTTCCCAAGTTGATTTATAAGTTCACAAAGTTTGACAAAGAAAGATCACTGAATATAAAATAACAGTGTCTCTTTCTATTGCCAATGTCTGTAAAACTTAGATATTGGATGTTGTTCCCAAGTTGGTATGTTAGTTCACAAAGTTTGACAAAGAAAGATCACTGAATATAAAATAACAGTGCCTCTTTCTATTGCCAATGTCTGTAAAACTTGGATATTGGATGTTGTTCCCAAGTTGATTTTTAAGTTCACAAAGTTTGACAAAGAAAGATCACTAAATATAAAATAACAGTGCCTCTTTTTATTGCCAATGTCTGTAAAACTTAGATATTGGATGTTGTTACACAGTTGATTTTTAAGTTCACAAAGTTTGACAAAGAAAGATCACTGAATATAAAATAACAGTGCCTCTTTCAATTGCCAATGTCTGTAAAACTTAGATGTTGGATGTTGTTCCCAAGTTGATATGTAAGTTCACAAAGTTTGACAAAGAAAGATCACTGAATATAAAATAACAGTGCCTCTTTCTATTGCCAATATCTGTAAAACTTAGATATTGGATGTTGTTCCCAAGTTGATTGTTAAGTTCACAAAGTTTGACAAAGAAAGATCACTGAATATAAAAAAAACAGTGCCTCTTTCTATTGCCAATATCTGTAAAACTTAGATATAGGATGTTGTTCCAAAGTTGAATGTTAAGTTCACAAAGTTTGACAAAGAAAGATCACTGAATAACAGTGCCTCTTTTTATTCCCAATGTCTGTAAAACTTAGATATTGGATGTTGTTCCAAAGTTAAATGTTAAGTTCACAAAGTTTGACAAAGAAAGATCACTGAATATAAAATAACAATGCCTCTTTTTATTGCCAATGTCTGTAAAACTTAGATATTGGATGTAGTTCCCAAGTTGATTCATAAGTTCAAAAAGTTTGACATAGAAAAGTCACTGAGTATAAAAACAGTGTCTCTTTCTATTGCCAATGTCTGTAAAACTTAGATATAGGATGTTGTTCCAAAGTTGAATGTTAAGTTCACAAAGTTTGACAAAGAAAGATCACTGAATATAAAATAACAGTGCCTCTTTTTATTGCCAATGTCTGTAAAACTTAGATATTGGATGTTGTTCCCAAGTTGATTTATAAGTTCACAAAGTTTGACAAAGAAAGACCACTGAATACAAAATAACAGTGCCTCTTTCTATTGCCAATGTCTGTAAAACTTAGATATTCGATGTTGTTCCAAAGTTGATTCATAAGTTCACAAAGTTTGACAAAGAAAGATCACTGAATATAAAATAACAGTGCCTCTTTTTATTGCCAATGTCTGTAAAACTTAGTTATTGGATGTTGTTCCCAAGTTGATTCATAAGTTCACAAAGTTTGACATAGAAAGGTCACTGAGTATAAAAACAGTGTCTCTTTCTATTGCCAATGTCTGTAAAACTAAGATATTGGATGTTGTTTCAAAGTTGATTGTTAAGTTCACAAAGTTTGACAAAGAAAGACCACTGAATACAAAATAACAGTGCCTCTTTCTATTGCCAATGTCTGTAAAACTTAGATATTGGATGTTGTTCCCAAGTTGATATGTAAGTTCACAAAGTTTGACAAAGTAAGATCACTGAATATAAAATAACAGTGCCCCTTTCTATTGCCAATGTCTGTGAAACTTAGATATTGGATGTTGTTCCCAAGTTGATATGTAAGTTCACAAAGTTTGACAAAGAAAGATCACTGAATATAAAATAACAGTTCCTCTTTTTATTGCAAATGTCTGTAAAACTTAGATATTGGATCTTGTTCCCAAGTTGATTCATAAGTTCAAAAAGTTTGACATAGAAAAGTCACTGAGTATAAAAACAGTGTCTCTTTCTATTGCCAATGTCTGTAAAACTTAGATATAGGGTGTTGTTCCAAAGTTGAATGTTAAGTTCACAAAGTTTGACAAAGAAAGATCACTGAATATAAAATAACAGTGCCTCTTTTTATTGCCAATGCCTGTAAAACTTAGATATTGGATGTTGTTCCCAAGTTGATTTATAAGTTCACAAAGTTTGACAAAGAAAGAACACTGAATATAAAATAACAGTGCATCTTTCTATTGCCAATGTCTGTAAAACTTAGATATTGGATGTTGTTCCCAAGTTGATATGTAAGTTCACAGAGTTTGACAAAGTAAGATCACTGAATATAAAATAACAGTGCCCCTTTCTATTGCCAATGTCTGTGAAACTTAGATATTGGATGTTGTTCCCAAGTTGATATGTAAGTTCACAAAGTTTGACAAAGAAAGATCACTGAATATAAAATAACAGTGCCCCTTTCTATTGCCAATGTCTGTAAAACTTAGATATTGGATGTTGTTCCTAAGTTGATACATGATTATAAGTTCACAAAGTTTGACAAAGAAAGATCACTGAATATAAAATAACAGTGCCTCTTTCTATTGCCAATGTCTGTAAAACTTAGATATTGGATGTTGTTCCAAAGTTGATTTATAAGTTCACAAAGTTTGACAAAGAAAGATCACTGAATATAAAATAACAGTGCCTCTTTCTATTGCCAATGTCTGTAAAACTTAGATATTGAATGTTGTTCCCAAGTTGATATATAAGTTCACAAAGTTTGACATAGAAAGGTCACTGAGTATAAAAACAGTGTCTCTTTCTATTGCCAATGTCTGTAAAACTTAGATATAGGATGTTGTTCCTAAGTTGATTGTTAAGTTCACAAAATTTGACAAAGAAAGATCACTGAATACAAAATTACAGTGCCTCTTTCTATTGCCAATGTCTGTAAAACTTAGATATTGGATGTTGTTCCAAAGTTGATTTATAAGTTCACAAAGTTTGACAAAGAAAGATCACTGAATATAAAATAACAGTGCCTCTTTCTATTGCCAATGTCTGTAAAACTTAGATATTGGATGTTGTTCCCAAGTTGATTTATAAGTTCACAAAGTTTGACAAAGAAAGATCACTGAATATAAAATAACAGTGCCTCTTTTTATTGCCAATGTCTGTAAAACTTAGATATTGGATGTTGTTCCCAAGTTGATTTATAAGTTCACAAAGTTTGACAAAGAAAGATCACTGAATATAAAATAACAGTGCCTCTTTTTATTGCCAATGTCTGTAAAACTTAGATATTGGATGTTGTTCCCTAGTTGATTCATAAGTTCACAAAGTTTGACAAAGAAAGGTCACTGAGTATAAAAACAGTGTCTCTTTCTATTGCCAATGTCTGTAAAACTTAGATATTGGATGTTGTTCCCAAGTTGATTGTTAAGTTCACAAAGTTTGACAAAGAAAGATCATTGAATATTAAACAACAGTGTCTCTTTTTATTGCCAATCTCTCAAGTTGGTAGATAAGATCATAAAGATTGACAAAGAAAGATTACAGAACAAAGAACCACATTGCCTTTTTACTGTCAGTGTCTGTAAAACTATGTTTTTTGATGTTCATATTTCCAAGTATATGTAATTTTGACACAAAAAACACTGGATACGTATATGTAACAATTCCTCTTCCTATCGCTTAAATCTGTTCCCAAGTTGATTATTAAGCTCTTCCCTTATTTTGAGCAAATACATTATTAACAATTGTATCAATTTTAACGCTTACCAAAAGTTGAATCCTTATTCCATTGAGATTAGGTCCTGAGCACTGTTCCCTTGTTACTTCCATCTTCATCTCTGATGTGATTGTGATGATCAGTTGATGGTACATTGTCTTTTATACCATACCAGGTTATACTTTCTGCCAAACTTTCAGTTATTAACACACAGATAATATTTTAATCCCAAACTGACAAGATATGACACAAACAAACAATCAAACTTAAACTGGTGACAATGTTTGCATGTAAAAACATATACAAGGATTAACTGTAGACTGTTTTTGTTTTGGGCTCACTTAATTAATTAGGATTAACTATTGGCTTAGAAACTGACGTTGAAAGTGACACTTGGGGCTTACCTTATGCACTTATATGTGATCAGTAATTATTAAAGGATTAAAAATGTTGTTTTTAACCTGGCATTTTGGAATATACCACATTGTTGACTTGTTTTATTCTGGATAATTTCTTCATTGATCAGAAAATATAAATATCTGAACTTTATTTTCTAATCCAATAAATGAATTATATTTCAGTGATGTTTATTTTGAATAAATATCTCATTGTTTTTCAAATCTCTTTCAAGATAATCACGTTAAGTTTTTAAAAGCGGGATTGCCATAAATATCAACTTTTATGTCAACACCACAAGACTTAGTGTTGATATATTGTTATAGTCTCCAATTTTTGTGTAGGGTGTTCAGCATCTGGCATTTGGTGTCCATTGGTCCATCAGAGTTTGGTGTATGTATCAAATAACAAGTAGTGACATTTTGCATGTCAGTGCCTTGTTTCCCTAAACAGAGCACTGACATATTCAGCTTGTGTTTAGTAAAACTTTTAATGGCATACACTGTAGATCATCTGCCATTCACCTTGATCCAATGGCTTACTACATTTACATTTTACAATATTGTCCTTTGCTTTTTGGCTTTGACTACTTTATATTTCATGAACCAAATACACTATTGATCATTTGCACCTGTTTTTTATTTATTTTCAGGTGGCATGTATGCAGTTCATCAACATAGTTGTCCACTCAGTGGAGGACATGAATTTCAGAGTTCACCTACAACATGAGTTCTCACTAATAGGACTTGATGAATACCTTGAGGTAGGCATTGAGAGGGCTGAACTAAAATTAAAACTTCTTGACTAGGCTTTTAGTCCTAGAACAACCAGTTCAGCTCTTCTTGAACAATTCTCATAGATTGTTGCTCTATGTTTTAATTTGTTGCAATATCAGACCTCCTAGACTTTGCAAACTACGTTCCTTGCGCTCGAACCATGATTCTCACGTCGCAAATGTGAAATCTTTAGAACAGAGATCCGTTCGCAACATAAAAATTGTAATTCGAGTGCAAGGAACATAGTTTGCGAGGTCAGAAGAACTGATGTTCGAGTTGGTGGAAGTCTAGGAGGCCTCAATATAGTCTACTACAGGCCTTAAATTACATTACCATTAATATTGATAAAAAGTGAATCTAGGATTCTATTTTATCCATAATGTTTATTTTGTGTGTAATGTTAAACATGTATTTGTGACACATGTCTGAAAACATACATTAATAATAATGATCACTCATTTTGAATGTGGAATGCACAATGCTTGTGATCAGGTCTTCTATTTTGAATCATTGATATTTTAGAAACTGAAGTACACCGAAAGTGATCGATTGGCTGTCCAAGTGCATGCATATGTAGATAACATGATTGATGTTGCCACCTTATTAGAAGACTCCGACACCAAGAATGCGGCACTGGAACACGTGGCGGAATTAGAAGAAGCTCTCTCACATGTAAGTCAACAGTCAGTTGCACAGCAGATAAATTAGGTGTCCTCTTTATGAGGCTGTGAGTTAGACTGTTATTATATTGAACTGCAATAAACAAATACTGCAGAAGTATTGAATGACTCAGCATTTTAGCTTTATCATGCTAGCAGGGTAACATGAGTTTCATTAGTGTCAAAAAATGGAAACATCAGGCCTTTTTGGAAAATATGTTTTAACATGGAAAAAGTAGCAAAGTTCCTATAGAAAATTGCCTTTTGACTGCTCCAAATAAAACCCCTGTGCATCACCTGTTCATACAGTTCCATATTTAGATTACAGTCATTATAATATTCTTTTATATAAGGTATTCTCTCTATAAGTGCACTAAGAGATGTACATGAACTTTGAATATTAATTATATATGTCTTTATTTCTTGAGCACAGAAGAAGGTATTGGTACAAATTCACATTTCTCTTCCATTTCCAATTTCATGTCCTTATAAGGTACTATTGGATGCAGGTTTATAATGCCAGTCAAAACAGATATATGTTAGTCTTTATGTAGAAAGGAAAGCCAAATATTTGTCAAGGTGAATGGTTTTTTGGTTGTACATTTTTTTGTCATTGTGTATAGATAAGACATTTTGTTGATGTAGAGAAATGATTGGGTGCTGTTTTGGTACTGGACAAAATAATAATGCATCTATAAAGATGCTTTAATGTATTGCAGCATCTATTTTTAGGTAAAACAACTACATAAGATTCAAGAAAAAGTCCATAAGTACTAAATATGCAATCAAAAGTATGGCTGCATCTCAAGTAAACATGCCAATTGCCAAGAAAATTGTGAATTAATCCTAGGCTTTTATTTTTATTGTATTTTTGTATTTGATAATTATTTTCATTTACATTTAATTAAACAATGGTTGGAATGACACCCCTTGCCATCAATTATGATTCAAGCTTCATTATATACAAAATACAGTAATACATTTGTACAGTAAATGATATCTATGTATTATTTCAGGCAAATGATCAGATGGCAGAGTTAGAAGATGAAACTATGGCCAAGATAGGTGAGTGCTTCTTGTATAATGCATAAATAGTAACACGAAGCAGTACTCGTACAGTTGGCTAATTAGCAATGACATTTCACATGAAGTCTTGAATACTAATGAGATGTTTAGTTTGAGGTAAATCAATTTAAGCTAATCCAACTCATCCTATAGTTTAAAATAATGTCAGTCAACAGAAGAAGCTAATATATGCTCAATTGTGTTACATAAGAGAAAAATATGTTTTATGATTAAGTCGGTGAGATGTCCAGCGTGTTTCTCTTGAAACTTTTGTGCAAATATTTTATCATGCAAAAAGCTGTTAAAAATTCAAACAAATATGTCTTGAATATTTCAGTTGAACTTGAACAGCAATTGACAGAAAAGATAGAAGAAGCAAGTAAACTATCTGTAAGTAGAGATATTTAGAATTCACCAGTCTTGTACACGGCCTCTGTAAAAACATCAATTTGAGACAGCCCTTCCATATAATTACTTAACCATTTACCTAAATTTGCAACCTTTTCTGGGCATGTGTACTAGACTATATTTGTATGTAAAAACAAACAAAAGAGTAATATAAATGGAGAATGAATATCAAAACTGGTTACTCCTAATATGGGTATTTATTGTGGTATTATTCATTTACAGTAAATACTACAATTGTATTTTTATTTTGTTTTCTTTATATGTACTGATTATAAAACAAGAAATGATGGTTAGCTCACATACTCTATGTAAAGGTTTTCATATCCAATGCTCTGTTATGTAACGAAAAACCTGTTAAAATTAGACAGATGATCGATCTTATTATATTCAAAGGAATTGACAGAGCTGCAACAAGAGGAAATGAATACTTTACGTAAGACGATTACGGAGAAAGATGAAGAAACCCTCAAGAGAGATCAAGTGCTTCAACAGAAGATGTCAGAGTTAGATACATTACGCAAAAGTGAGTGTTAAGTTTAATGCATAAATCCAAGAAAACATGTGCAATGGAGTAAAATGTGCCATGTAGTTCATATATGAGTAAGCAATCAAATGAAATCTCAGTCATGTTAACTTTGGCCTCAATTGACCAAACAGAGACAATAGTGATGTACATGCAATTTCTAGCTATGTCTTTTAAAATGAGAGCTTTCTATACAGCAATGCATAACTTCAGGAATATACAATAATTGTAGAGATCACATTTATGACCTAAATAGACAATCATGTTTGGTAAACATCACATTAACATTTTATTCTTTCAGATGGAGTTGCCCCATCTGCTGGCGGCGCCCCACCACCTCCACCCCCTGCTGCTGCTCCCCCACCCCCTCCACCACCAATGATGGCACCACCACCACCCCCTCCAATGCCAGGCAAGGGACCCCCAGGACCACCCCCTCCACCAGGTGCTATGATACCTGGAATGCCAGGTAATGAAACATGTATTACAAAAGCAAAATATGGCATATTTAATAGACCATTATTGCTGTTATTCTACTTTTTCACTTTCCAAATAAAAGTTGCTCTTGTAAAAATGTATTTTAAAAATTTGAAATATTAACATTTTTGCTGTTATTGTCCACCCTGTGTTTGCTTTTAGCGTAAATGATGAGATTTATATTTCAGCAATGACAATAAAGCGCAAGATCCAAACAAAGCATCGACTGCCACTCCTCAACTGGATGGCAATGAAGCCACAACAAGTCAAGGGTACTGTCTTCTCAGATCTAGATGATGAAAAACTATATGATGTGAGTGAATACAATTTTTTATAATTCATTTATATTTTATTTGATGAAGTAAAATAATGATAAATACCAACACACCAAATCAAGGCCTTTATATGTAATTTCTGTTTCATTGTTCAAGGGATCATAGCTTTTTAATGGTACATCAACACGACTATATTATGTGTGATTTAAATTAGAGTTAAATCCATCATACCATTCCATAATATAAGGTGTCAATTCGCAATATTTCTTCATAGGGGGAGTGGTAAAAACCCAAGTTTCATTCAAAACCAGTGGAAATACTGAGTGGGTTTTAATGGGTAATACTTTTATAGTTCCACAATGTTTAACAATCAGGAAAGGGGGTTCTCAGTCTTAGTTAATAAGTTTCACAAAACAGACATTTTGAAATATATAGCTATCTTGGCCTCAAAACAAGCCTTAGAGTGTTTTGTGAAATGCAAGACTTTATTCCTTGATTTTTGTTATGTAAATGGACAATTATTGGAACATTCATTTTCATTGAATGTCACATTATCATCTTTATATCTATCAAAAGTCACTGACATTCATTGTTGTAGGTAATAAATTTCGATGAATTTGAGAATAAGTTCAAGATCGGTAGCCTCAGTTTGGATACAACAGACTCCAGCACAACGCCATCTATCAGGAAGAAGAAAGTGGAACTGGTATCTATGCTGGATCACACTAGACTACAAAACGTTGGTAAGGAAACTTTCTGTGTTTAAAATTAGTATGTCCCCTCCAAAAGTGGTGACATGCTGTTATGGTCTCCAACTTTTTGTGACAACGATCAGCCTCTAGTTGTCAGCATTCGGCATCTGTGACAGATGGCGACATTTTACATTTTAGCTAAAAAAGCAGTAATTACATGTATGTAAAAGCAAAAGCAGTAATTATGTGTGCAGAGTGACCCATGGGAGACATTTCAGCTTGTGTTGATGGATTATCTTGCATGACCATATAAAGAAATTTACATTAATATGTTCTGGGAAAGGGCTGAATAGATGGGCAATCTAAAAACAGTTTTCCATTCATTGTTGCTTTGGTGCAGTGATTCCCATTCCCTCCAGGTTGAGATTGGCTTTCCATGGTCTTGTATAATCTATATTTGCTTGCAGCAATAACTAGGCGGAAGATAGAATTATCTGATGATGCTATCTTGAGAGCTATTAACAGTATTGACCTACAATCCCTCACTCTGGATATGGTAGAGATCCTACTGAGGCTAGTGCCAAATGAGAAGGAGGTAAGATTTTTCTGCATCCCCTAACTCTCTTTCAAGAGTATCTTGAAAGTCCATAGTTGAGCAGTAGGACTTTTTAATTCTAAAAATTATATTTTCTTACTGTAAGTTATGAATCAACCTTTCAATCAACAAACCCACCTACCCACCTACCCAATCATGAAAGGGACCCAATTGTATGTGTCAAATGCAGTGGGAAACATCTGAAACAGCTCCAAAATAAATCACTATAGAGAGTCTCTTTGGGTATTTAAACTCTACTTTAGACTCCCTTATATCATAGATATAACTTCTTGATAAACCCAGATCTGTGTATGGAAATTAAATTCAGTTTTGTACAACAAATAAAGAGGTTGAGAGTTTGATTGAAAACTACTGAAAATGCATTGTGAAAGGCATTGTATGTATTTTGTACTTTTAGCTGGTTTGTAAAACAGTATTTGCACAGTGTAATTATTATGTCACCACCAAAAGTGGTGACATATTGTGTGGTGACATATTGTTATGGTCTCCGTTTTTTTGCGACGGCGGTTGGTGGTTGGCGTCCGGCGGTTGGTGGTTGGCTTCCGGCGGTTGGCGGTTGGCGTCCGGCGTCTGTAACAATTTCTTACAACTTCCTATAACTTAACAAATACTGTTTAGACTGACTTCAATTTTTTTCTAAATCATCTACATGTTCTCAGAAGTTCAAATCTGACTTTAGATTTGACATTTGACCTTCAATGACCTTCTCAAGGTCAAAAAGGTCAAAAAGGTCTGTTTTCAACTTGCTTCAAATTGACTAAATTTTTTTTTCAAAATCATCTACGTGTTCTCAGAAATTCAAATCTGACTTAAGATTTGACATTTGACCTTCAATGACCTTCTCAAGGTCAAAAAAGGTCAAAAAGGTCTGTTTTCAACTTGCTTCAAATTGACTAAAAATTTTTTTCAAAATCATCTACGTGTTCTCAGAAATTCAAATCTGACTTTAGATTTGACTTAAGATTTGACATTTGACCTTCAATGACCTTCTCAAAGTCAAAAAAGGTCAAAAAGGTCTTTTTTCAACTTGCTTCAAATTGACTAAATTTTTTTTTCAAAATCATCTACATGTTCTCAGAAATTCAAATCTGACTTTAGATTTGACATTTGACCTTCAATGACCTTCTCAAGGTCAAAAAAGGTCAAAAAGGTCTGTTTTCAACTTGCTTCAAATTGACTAAATTTTTTTTTCAAAATCATCTACGTGTTCTCAGAAATTCAAATCTGACTTAAGATTTGACGTTTGACCTTCAATGACCTTCTCAAGGTCAAAAAAGGTCAAAAAGGTCTGTTTTCAACTTGCTTCAAATTGACTAAAAAAAAATTTTCAAAATCATCTACGTGTTCTCAGAAATTCAAATCTGACTTTAGATTTGACTTAAGATTTGACATTTGATCTTCAATGACCTTCTCAAAGTCAAAAAAGGTCAAAAAGGTATTTTTTCATCTTGCTTCAAATTGACTAAAATTTTTTTCAAAATCATCTACATGTTCTCAGAAATTCAAATATGACTTTAGATTTGACATTTGACCTTCAATGACCTTCTCAAGGTCAAGAAAGGTCAAAAAGGTCTTTTTTCAACTTGCTTCAAATTGACTCATTTTTTTTCAAAATCATCTACATGTTCTCAGAAATTCAAATCTGACTTTAGATTTGACATTTGACCTTAAATGACCTTCTCAAGGTCAAAAAAGGTCAAAAAGGTCTGTTTTCAACTTGCTTCAAATTGACTAAAAAAAATTTTCAAAATCATCTACGTGTTCTCAGAAATTCAAATCTGACTTTAGATTTGACTTAAGATTTGACATTTGACCTTCAATGACCTTCTCAAAGTCCAAAAAGGTCAAAAAGGTCTTTTTGAACTTGCTTCAAATTGACTAAATTTTTTTTTCAAAATCATCTACATGTTCTCAGAAATTCAAATCTGACTTTAGATTTGACATTTGACCTTCAATGACCTTCTCAATGTCAAAAAAGGTCAAAAAGGTATTTTTTCATCTTGCTTCAAATTGACTAAATTTTTTTTCAAAATCATCTACATGTTCTCAAAAATTCAAATATGACTTTAGTTTTGACTTTAGATTTGACATTTGACCTTCAATGACCTTCTCAAGGTCAAAAAGGTCTTTTTTCAACTTGCTTCAAATTGACTAATTTTTTTTCTTCAAAATCATCTACATGTTCTCAGAAATTCAAATCTGACTTTAGATTTGACATTTGACCTTTAATGACCTTCTCAAGGTCAAATAAGATCAAAAAGGTCTGTTTTCAACTTGTTTCAAATTGACCAAATTTTTTTTTCAAAATCATCTACATCTTTTCAGAAGTTCAAATTTGACTTTACAAGATCTCAGAAATTCAAATCTGACTTAAGTTTGAACATAATATTGTGAGCAACTAGGTGGTGACATTTTGTCATGTTAATGCCTTGTGTTTACTTTGTTTTTCAGGTAAAAGAGTTGAAAAAATATGAGAAGGAAAAGAAACCAATAGAACGTTTGACTGAGGAAGATAGATTTATGTTAAAGGTGAGAAAGTCAATTTCTTTGTATAACATAAATTTACTTGAAGTTGAGGGTTCCTGGTTTAGAAAAACTGAGTCTCATGTCACATGAATCAATGATAGTGAATTGTGTCTTGATTGTGTCTTTAGTAGAAATGAACCTTTCAAAGTTTCATTACATGTACTTATTTGACTTGTATGTTTCAAATTGAAGGCGAAGCTTGTATGTACTATACATATTAATCAGAATAATCTTCATACCATAGAACTATTCTAGTTCAAATATATATGTCTTGCATACAAACATTCTTGTCCAGAATGGTGTGTTGTGTTGAAGTTGTGCCACACAAGTTATGTAATTTACAATTGATCTCAAATGAATGAATGTTTTTATGTGCACTATTTCAGCTTGTCAAGACTGAGAGACTTTCCCAAAAATTGAACATCATGAGCTATATTGGAAACTTCTTCGACACAGTCCACTCCTTGACGCCTGTAAGTGTTATTCCTACTTCTACTTTTAAAAGAACACAAGAAGCCTTCAAGGAGTGATTTCTAGGTCTGTTTCTGAGTGATATGTATAGATAAAGTCATCTTGAAATATATGTAAAATATCTCCTTCAACATTTATATTAATATAAGCAATCTCAAGTACATGTAGAAATGATAATATTAGATTATGCTTATTGAAAGGCTTTGATTCTATTTTGATTGTTCTGATAACTGAATGCATTTTCAACAAAACCAAGACAATTCAGACCAATTGCAATGTTTTTACCAGCAACCTTGAGCCAGAGCCTAATGGCCTAGTCACATAGCCCGGCCGATGAGGTTACGATGAGCCAGCGATGCAATTTTCACCGAACTCGGCCGAACACCGGCCGGACACCGGCCGGACATCCGTGGCGTTTGTTGCTTAAAACCGCATCGGTGGTAGCTCGGTGAAATTTTAACTTCGGAGTTAAATTTCACCGGGCTCTCACCGAGCTCCCTCATCATGTCATCGCAGCCCCATCGTAACCACATCGGAAAACACGTCGGCCGGTGCACGGCCGAGTATCGGCCGGTGTCCCATGCATCTGAGACAACCAGAGGACGAGGTTTTTTAACGGACAGCGGCCGAGCTCCGACCGAGCTCTGGCCGATGTGGGACAGAGCATCGGCAGAAAAAAACTACCATTTTGAGACAGACTCCGTACGGTCACCGGCCGGTGTTCGGTCGGTCGCCTGAAGATGTCCGGACGGAGTCCGTTCACGTCACCGAGCTCTGCTTCCGATGAGGAGAGCTCGGTGGCACCAAAAAAATCCACCGAGCTCTACCGATGCCGGACATCGGCCGGGCTATGTGACTAGGCCATTAATGCTTAACTTGTTGTTGTACATCTACTGTATTAATTTCATTTCCATTGCAGCAAGTCAACGCCATTATTGCCGCATCAATGTCCATAAAGAACTCAAAGAAAGTTCGAAAAATGCTTGAGGTAAGTGAACATTTAATAAATAATAAATATTGTCTACTTGTACCATGTCTGCATTTCATTCAGCAGAGACATGAAATACATGTAGTTGTATATGCAAATAATTTATCATATCCTCTAATTTTAGTTTTTTATGCATCCTTTTTACTTTTCTATTGAATCCAATGTTAAATATGTGCCATGACTAGAACATCCAAACTTAAAAAATGACCATGTTGTTGTATTATCTCCCTGGTGCACTCTTTAACTCAAACATGTAATTTTGAGTGAACAAACATATCTAATCTGAACACCACTTGGATCAGCCAAAAGTATTCAAATAGCTGATGTTCAAATTGGAAGTTTTCTTTAAAAAGGAAGTCAATTGAATATCCCAAAATTAGAAGTGAGAGAAAGTGTTCATATTGAGAGGTGTTCAGATCACAAAGGTGTTCACATATATATGTTTTACTGTATTACTTTATATTTCAGATAATCCTTGCATTTGGTAATTACATGAACAGTAACAAGAGGGGTGCAGTGTATGGCTTTAAACTACAGAGCTTGGATATGGTAAGTGGACTGTTTTCCCCAGAGATTAAGCAAGCATGAATTTTATATTTTTATATTTTTATATGGTCCAAGATGCTGGAGTTCTGGATGAGGAATTTGTCTTAAGAATTTAATTCAGAAATGACAAAAATTATTGGATTTGGGGACAAAACTTAGACCATCTTGTAACATAGACAACATTATTATCATTCACTTTCATTAAATTCAAACAAAAGTTATTTCAGGATTTATTTACCTATTATCTATTTATTGCAAATAATTAAATAAAGATTCATCTCAAATTGCCAAGAGCGTCATGGGATTGAAAAACAGGTCTTTTAAATAATTGTCGAATGAATTTATTAGATGTATAAGATAAGACATATCTTCCCTGAAGTCATACATGTTGATTGGAGGTCTTTACTAAGTAGTGCTAGTGGAGTTGTATATAATTTTACAACACTTATGTTTCAGCTGCTTGACACAAAGAGTAATGACAAGAAGATGACCCTCTTACATTTTATTGTACTCACAGTGAAAGAAAAGTTTCCAGATATTATGAACTTTGACAGTGAACTACGCTACATAGAAAAAGCTTCAGTTGGTAAGTCAATAAAAGTTGCTACTTTTATTCTTGAATTTTGATTCATTTATTAAATCTAGGGATGAAATTGGGAAATGTTCTGCAATATAGGGTGGTTTAATCAATGTATCGTGAATTCGTGATGGCCTATGTAATAGTGTCTATTGGTTTGCATGTGTCATGATATCAGTCAGTTTTTATGTCACCCCACAAGTGATGACATAATACCATAGTCTCAAACTTTTTTTGTGGTGCCGGTTGGTGTTCGATCTCTGTAACAAATGGCAGGTAGTGACATTTTGCCTTGTTTCTCATTTTCTTACCTTTAGCTTCATTGTGAATAATAGAACATCCAAATAAATATCCTTAACTCATTCAATCTTCGCCTGACATTTTTATTCACCTTCAACCACCATGCACAAAATGCTGTCTTTAAGACAAGTCTTTAAGATATATAACATATGATTGGCATGGAACTTCTTTTGCGCTTTTTAGTGTCTTTAGAGAACATTGTGGCAGACACCAGTGAGCTAGACAAAGGGATGGAGATGACCAAGAGAGAGTATGAGGCCAGGAAACACTCAAAAGACTGTCCTCCTGTACTACTAGAGTTTATCTCTAATGCTGAGGAAAAATTGATTAAACTCAAGACAGACTCAAAAACAGCCCAGGTAGGAATATGTTAATAAAAGACATTGCCAAAAAGGGAGACCAAAAGTACAGTAAAGTACTTATAAGTAAAGTACATGCATGTAGTATTTTTATGTCACCACCGCAATTGGTGATGGCGGTTAGTGTTTGACGTCTGTAACAATGGTGTCTGTAGCAAATAGCAGGTGACATTTTTTCATACTTGACACCTGTGCTATATTTTGTGCCTAATTCCCAACCTATAAATTTGTTTTTTTTAACATCCTCGAGTACATGAAAGCAAATGCCTATACCAGCCTTTTCAATGATTGATTTACCAGTACAGTACACATAGTAATTAATTTTGATTAATTGTTAAACTATGTTTTACATGTATACTTGCAGGAAGCCTATGGTAAAGTAGTTGAATTCTTTGGAGAGAGCTCCCGTACATTGGCACCTACAACTTTCTTTCCTCTCTTTGTCAGATATGTAAAGGCATTTAAGGTAAGTCTGTAAAATCATTTGTTTCAAGGTTATCAACATATGTTAATTTCATAATATCCCTATCAACTTTGCCTCAATAAAAAGTTGACGTAGACAATGAACTTGGTGCTTCAAAGTATCATTCAAATTTCAGAATAGCAAGTAAAATTTTCTAAATTTCATAATTCTCTTATCACTCTCGCTAATCGTTTTCATGACTGCCTTATTGCGTGCCACTACTGTCCACAAAACAGTGAATAGTACAATGCATGTGTATTGTATTTTCAGCAAGCAACATTGGAGAATGAGATGAGGCGCAAGCTTGAACTTGCTGAATTGGAACCTCCTAAAGAAACCAAGAAGAAAGGAGATAAGAAGAAACAACAGGTATGCTATGTTATGTTATGCTTTCTCAGAAGCTTTATTTGTCCACTTCAGCATTCATAATATGTATTCATATGTCCTTACAACTAGGCAGTGTCATGTAAATGTGATTTCTTGTACTCAAAATATAGAGTCTAGAAAGTTCATAAGTGGTACAGATCAGGTCGATTCAAGCCAATTAAGGTTCATGAGTTTCTCACCTAAGAGCCCAGCTTGGTTTCCATATTATTTGAATCCAGTGACCAATTCAGGACCCAGACCAGAAATCAACTGTTGACTTGTGAATGTCTAAAAGCAAATAGATAATCCATTGTATGTGATATATTTTCCAGGCTGCTGTTGTATCTGAACTGAAAAATAAACAAAATGCCATCAAGGAGAAGAGAATTCTTAAACAAGATGAAGTTTACCATGGGGCCTTGGAGGACATACTTCTAGGTTCTTCAATAATGCAATATTTATTAATTGTGCAAAATATAAAAATTGTCTTGTCGTGAAGCAATATTTTGATTTGTTGAAAGGAACAATTTAGGAATGTCATAAAAATGTCCTTTAATATTTAATCCTCTCATAATTCAGTCTATGGAAGAGCCCCCTGAGTAATCCTGTTTTTGATGTTTCAGATTTGAAGAATGAGCCATACAGGAGAGCAGATGGTGTTAGGAGAAGCCAGTCGAAGAGACTAGCAAACAAAGAACTTCAGTTAAATAAAGTCAGACAGAGAGAAGAAATATATTAATCCAAACCCATACAAATTGTAAATATGCTGAATATGTGATGTTTAAACCACAAGTCAGTGTGTATCAATTCAACTCATTTCATAGCTTTAATACACACTGGCTACCACTGTAAATATGAAATGTCAACTTCTGGGACTACAAAAACATGCTGGAAATGAAACACAAGATTCATAATGTTAATTCAATGGAAATATTTGAAAAACTATAACATAATTAAATAAGAGACTTATTTACTTACAAGCCTTTTGGAAATGGAAATATTGGCCTACACTCAATATTGTGAAAATGTCTGGTAATGCTTACTCTTAATGTCAGAAGATCCATAGCAATGGTGGCATCACCAAATATGGATTTTGTGATCAGAAATCTGCATAAACTTAATTGCCAAGAAGTCGAAATACTTTGTATTGCCACAACCCACAAGATGATCTATATTTGACTGAAACAGCTGAACATTTGATATATTGAACATGCATAATTGGGTACATATCTGATACAGAGCCTTGTACCGCATTAATGTAGTCTGGCAGTTAGATGTTGCTTCACTTCATTTTTGTTTTTTACAATGGTTCGTCTGAAAATTGCCAAAACATTTGTTGCAATCATTTATTAGATGGTAGAACTTGAAAATTATCTACAATACATGTAAGTCCATTAGTTAGTTATTTCAAAACACAAAATTCAAACACAAAATTCCTCTCCAGCAGGAATTTAACCTGCAAGCCTTCTACAAGCATAACCTTCTACAACCAATTGAAAATGTGTTCATACTATAGTTAAGCTTTGCACTTTGCAGTAGGGCAGTAAAACTCTACAATATGATAGTCCAAATCTACAACATATGAGTAAAACTACAAAAGCCAGTCAAACCTTACAATAGGACTGTAAAAGTGTACTGTATACTGTAGGACAGATAAACTATACAGTAGAACAGTCAAACTGTACACAGTTAAACTGTACAGTAGAACAGTTAAACTATACAGTAGAACAGTCAAACTGTGCAGTAGAACAGTTCAGTTGTACAGTAAGACAGTAAAACTGTATATTCTAGGACAGTAAATCTGTACAGTAAGAACAGTCAAACTGAACAGTAAGACATTCAGACTGTATACTCTAGGACAGTAAAACTGTATGGTAGGATGGACAAACAGTACAGTAGAGCAGTCCAACTACATTAGGACAGTCAAACCTTACAATTGTTTGAATGAGATACTGATAACAAATGCAAAGCATCAATTTCATTGATATTAGAATTGCATAAAATCAGTTGTACATAAAACTCCCATTTTGTGCATTTTAGGGATTTGAGTATCCCTATTGTATATTAATTTCATTGTATAAATGTATGCCTATGTAAATGAACAATTTGTATCATAAGTATTTTATAAATATCTGCTATGCTATATATGGTGCCTTTTTGCATTAGAATATTTAAGTGTGATTTAGTTATGTCTTGAAGTTATAGTAAAATAAGGAAATATAATTTCTATTAACATTATACCTGGTATAAAGTAATGTATAATTTGGAAGTAAAGAACTAAAATGCATCAATGCATGAAAATTTAGAACATGTAGAAGTCTCTTGCCATTAGACTACAGTAACTTCTTCAGTAAGATTGTACAAGTCAGTTTTGTGCATAGCGCCTAGCTATAGTTATAGCACAAGATGATTGAAGCTCCATCATGTCCATTAATTTACCAGGATAACTCGGAGTTCTGCACTAGATTGACTTCAAACATTGTTTAAAGTTTGATGTTTATATGTTTATTGGTACCTTATCTGAACCTTCAATGTGAAATTAACATTTTCAAAAGATTCGGTACAGTATTATATTTAATATCAAAGCAATTTCATTTTATGTTTAACGTTGATATTTACATAATATTAGTTCTGTTATATACATGTATTTTTGTCTGATAACGGAGGTGCTATGCATGATGCTTCCCATGTAATACATGTGCTGTAATGTACATGTGCTGTAATGTACTTTGTTGCACTGTACTGTATTTTATCCTATGGATACTAAATGTAAATGGGAATGATAACACAAGACAAATTTGGAATGTGCTACTAAAATTAAATTAAACTGATATGATGTGATATCCAATGGTATCGGAGCGAAGCTTTTTTTCATCAGTTTTGAATTTAGCACCCAAAATGGTTTGACTAAATGTTCTCATGCAATCAGTTTACATACCAATGGTAACACCTGTACAATTTGTAAATATTTGAGTTTTTGAATGTTTATAAGTTGTAGTTGATTTAATTGTGAAGTTATATATGATCTATTTTTAGAACATGTGTAGTAGTATTTTGAAATCCATAGGATAAATATGATATACTATGACTTTCTTAGGGCTATCATTTTTATCCCTCAAAAATCATAGAATATCCTCCATGTACATTCTAGTTAATAGCATAGTTACAAACTGCGGTTGAGAAACAAGACGCCTTGTACATGTATATTAGAATTGTTTTGAACCTAGCCAGCCTCTCAAGTACAGGGTGTTCCAAAAGTATGGAACCCCAAACATCAACATTCACATTTTGTACATGTGTTCTACTGCACAGCATTGCCTCTTTATTTGTTATAATCAAAGAGGGATAACACATACCTCTGAATATATGAAGTATTTGCAAATGGAATAGTTCAAAATATATGGCTCAAAATAACTGGATGTCATCGCTCACTTTATTTAATTACAAGAGGAGTTGTACCACATTTGCCAAACGAATTGCTAAATATTCCAGATTTCTCGAGAAATTACAATTTTCTTTTTTATTCAGTTTTACTGTTGATATAAACCTTGTTATTCTGTTAAAGTTGAGTGTTATTGTATTCTCTGGTTTCTTTCTATACATATACAGTTGATGTTGATCAGTTGTGGAAAATTGATTTAAACTTGAGTCACATGAGTAAAATTAAGTGCATACAACAACTGCTTCAACAGCATTGAAACACAATTGTTAAATATTGTTTGGAATAAGAACTCAAGAATATTTTGTAATAGTACTATAGTACATAATCACAGACCTATGCACAATTCAGGCTAAGTTATTTCCGAATAATAATTTGGAGACAGCAATTAATGTAAATATGCTGTACATATGTAGCTGTGTGGTTGCTGATTGCAAAGTAAATATAAAAAGCTTCCAATATATGTACATTCTTTGATGTTCTTTTATTTTTCAATTGATTTTGTAATGTACACTGTCATGATAGCTTGTTAAAGTGGGCAGAGGGGATGATATCACATTGCAAATTCACATGTAAAATGTCCAGTCAGACTACAAATCTACTTGGCTCTAAATATAGTATTTCCACTTGAAGTGATCCATAAAAGTAAAAAAATGTCAACCTTTTGAACACTTTTATTTAAGGAGTAATACAATCATGTAACATGTCCAAGATATATGAACTGAAATATTAAACAAGCTAAGGTAAAGTAATTGAATTATATTTTTTGGACGATCATTGAAGTAATACAGTGGTTTGCATTATGTAGGTGTTTATTCAAGCAAGCAAATATAAAACAGTGTTTCTGTACATCAAAGTACATCTTTCCAGAGATTTTGATATCAGTGTGTCTGTTTGAAGGAACTAAATGTTGATATAGGTAGTTCTTTGGTTTCTCTATACAACATAGATGGAGTTAGCCCAGGTTCCCCCACAGATCTGCTCACTGTCTCCAGTACATGATGTACCACATACAGTTGTCCTAGAGCGTCCATACTTGCCAAACTCATAGCCACAGAAACAATAACCCCCCTCCTGTAAGCCAGCATACCTGTATTCTGAAACAAAGAAAAGGATTCTTTAAAACTGTATGATATCAGTATTTTATGGAGGCTATGGAATTGGACTACTGAGTAAAATTATTGCTCTTATTTCAATACCACCAAGTGAGGCAAACACAATCAATCTGACTTAAAACAAAATTTTGAGAGTAAATAATAAAAGTAAAACAACAACGTAAATGTCAATACATGATTCATTGAGAACATTTTATCCACATAGAGATACCCAAAATAGTTCAACCACTGAGTGTTATGCTAAATATGATGTTACTTACCGTGCTGTCTGCAGGGAATCGATACATATCTCAATGGTGAGAGCAGGGTCCAGAGGGTTGCTGAATAGATAGGGCAGGTCCCTAGCTCCAGGGGTGCTAGAGTCCGTTTTCAGTTCATCACAGGTCATACCACGATCTTCAAAGCACCCAAGGTACATACCTGGAGGTATTTATGATTATGTGTTTATGATGGTTAGGGAACTAATATACACATGTGTGATGTATAGTGATGGGATAAAATTCTTTTTATTTCTCTATGCAATTGTTCTTTTGCAACAACGCTGACCTTTTTGAGAAATGTCTCAAAAGAGACTCTTATTGTCTCCTGAAGCAGAAACCTCTCAAGTTAGGTTTATGTTGGACTCGATCATATGAGTACATACATAAGGAAGACTATAACCTGGACTCACTCACCTGAACATGGATTGGTGGTTTCAAATTGTCGACGTACACGGTTCAACTTTTCCTCCATTTCCTGGAAATGTATGACAGACTTTTCATCAATTTATCTAGAAACCATCAGCCAATCATTGGTATTAGCATGGGCTTTCAAGAGACAATTGAATAATAAGAACAACAACAAAAATCTTCCAAAGTAATGTTATGAGACTCTAGACCAATGAAATCATGTTTTGAGACAAATACAATGAGAGATCAGAATGAATGAATTCAGTACTGCAGTAGAGGAATGATATATATATATGGGGAGCAGCATCCTTAACATTCAGCAAGATATGTGTTATCACAAATGCAAACCTTTTGCTCTTTGTCCACATCTTCAACCCCAGCTCCTTTGGCAATCCCAGCCTCAAAGTGGTCCAGAGACAACGCTATCATCCCCACACAGAAACTGAAGTACACCATGCCTATCTGAGCCATCTAGGTTTATATGTTGGAACTGTGCTGAGTTCTGGGAAATGGCTATTAAACGTATTTATATACCAGAAAAGGTTTAGTTTAGTTTTGAATTAATTATTGTTTAATGTTTCCTCTGCTGACTGAACACAGTCTGCTCTGGACAGTTATGTCTTAGTTAATTAAAAATGTCAAAAATAATCCCAGTTTTATTTCAACTAATGGCGATTTAATTAAAATTGTTATGGATAGGAGGAACAAAGTTAATGAATAGAAGGAATACTTATGACATATGGTATAATCATAATAAAGTGATTTAAATCTGCACTAAAAATAATTACAACGGCATGTCAGCATGGCATTTTGAACCCATTGCACTAAAATGAGGCATACATGTACTGTAGATCATTCTGAAAGTGAGAGCTAGAAACTGCAGAATGGTGGCTGGGAAGATGCAGAAAGTAATCTCATTTATTGGAATCATTAGTGTGATTTTGTCTTTGGAGCTAGTTGCAGACATTCTGTGTCAGCACACAATACATTCCCAGGTAACATGCTTTATTCTAAAAAAATCTATTTCTGGCTCTCAAAATTGCATCTTGATATTTAATTGAGATGTTTAAACAATTCAATGTTCAGATTTTCTTCATTACTGTTGATAGAATTTATACATAATCCACCTTTCAAATTAATTTTTGAAAATCGCAAGTGTAAAGTTAAGTTAACAAAATGCTAGTGACAAACAGCAATTACAGTATCTTCTGAGCCAAAGCTACAAAATATTTGATCACTATAAGTAAAGCACTTAAAGCTCATATTTCTTGATTTTTCAGCTTTCAACAAAGCGCATACGTCGCTCTTCACCAGCTGAGTGCAATGATGCTTGTTCTGGTAATTAGATTAATGCGCTTAGATTTCCACATGGTCCATGTCTATTACTGGAGTTTTACATTATTCATTGGATTCCAAGAAACTGTTTTTTATGTAGGTTTTTATCTGGGTTGTTTTGATGATAGAGGTCAGACCTGTGATGAAGGTGGTCACAACTCACCTATTCCTGGCCCTAGAGATCTCCCTCTTTTTGCCAGTCTGAGAGACACTAGCCTGACCATTGAGTCATGTTTACAGATGTGTAGAGAGCTTGGTGAGTATTCATGTCTGACCATTGAGTCATGTAATGGCCTCAACATTGAGTCCTGCATACAGTTGTTTGAAAAGCTTGGCGAGTATTTTAGCCTCAACACTGAGTCATTTGTACAGTGTTGTGTAAAGAGCTTAGTGAGTATTTTAGCTTAACATTGAGTCCTCTACTAAGAATACATCGTGTAGCTGTTTAATGTATTCTAACTGGTCCTTCTGTTTTTCCCCCTGTGAAGCTTGTGGTTACATATTCATGTACAATTTCAGATTACAAATATGCCAGTGTACAGGCTGGCCGTTATTGCCACTGTGGAGATAAGTTTGGTAGATATGGTCGTTCGAAATCAACAGTGTGTGATAGACCATGCACTGGAAATGGCACACAAATATGTGGTGGGTCATGGGCCAACTCCATTTTTACTGTCTGATACAACTCAATTGATTCAAACATAATAAAATTCCTCACTGTGATTGAACAATTCAAACACATTGTGTATGCAACTTTTTGCTTATTGATGAAATATTAACTACAAGTACTTTGCAAACAAATCAACTTATATTTGCATATGTTGAAATGTGTATGTATTTATTTATGATAAAATATAATAATGATAAAAAAATCTTTTCAATCAATGGTCGTTGTGATTAACAAGAAACATTAATTACTAAAGTATGTAAGAGCTTGGACATTATACATAGTGCCAAGACATTAGTGTAACAATAATCCCAAGAATTAGAATGTGCATCCATATCAAGTACAATATCATGAATATATGAATAACATATATAAAGAATATAATATAATATCTGAATATATAAGTCTTCAAGCATTGTAGGATGACAAGAGTCCATTCCACGCACTAACATATTAATATAAAAATTAAAGTCCATCGTGTACTTACAAATGAAGAGTGCATGTATCGCAATCAAATTTTCTGTTGAATGAGTTCTGTCAATTCTCAGTCCTCCTCATACTTTTTCTCATTAATTTCCAGTCAATGTGTATGTTAACACATTATTTTTTCCATTTCACTATTCATATGAAATACTGTTGCATTGATGCCTATAATCCATTTGATGACCAAGAATTTATAGTTATATGTCATTCAGTGTAAGCCCATTAAGTTGGCAAATGGCACAGAAGGTCCACATTCCACATACCTTGCTATATACAAATGTGTCAAACATTTAGTAATAGCCGAGACCCAAGTGTCATGGTATCTACTTGGCAAGTTGCTTCTTGTACTTCAGCAGGTCATCCATAAGGTTCCTGTTGAGGACCTTGGATGCACAGAGAAGTCCACCATACATCCCTCCAGCAAACCCACAACTGAATATATCCTGACCTATGATTGGAGAAATGTTCTATTCATTAAAAGTACGATAACGTGTATATTGTATAATCCGGAGCTCTAAAAGATTTTACAGCTGATCAGAATAATATAATTTCAAATTATCAAATCAAATGAAATCCTTTGATTTTAAAATTGAATCATATTAAAATCTTTCAGAATTTGAAATCTCATTTAAACACTTGTAAATAACAATAATCCCAAATAAAGCCTAACTAAAGTTTTTGTGACACTTAATACTGACAAGATGATCTAACACTTCATCATAACAGTGTACATATAGTAAAGTCAGTTACCTGTTAGGTATAGTCCAGGAATCTCAGTCTCAGGCCTCAGATGCATGTAGACATCAGGCTGGAAGCGGGATCTGTTGTGGTCCAGGCCATAGATTTCACCCCTGGTGGACCCCAGGTAGTAATTGTTGCTTAGTGGACTCCCACAGTCAAAGTACTCAACCTACAATGACAAGCCGCATGTTACTGAAGTTTTATCAACTGGAATACACTTTATATCAGTCAAGAAAGATAAAAGCTGCAGATTGAAAGAAAGGAGGGCAAGGAAATTTACCTTGAGAGTTATTTAATAGCCTTAAATCTTAGCGTTATTGGACTTCAAACAGAGGTGAATGTTACACGCAAATGACATATACATGGCATGCCTGAGTAGGTTATTTTGATCCCTAAAGATTGAAAATATCTTCTGATCCCATCCTGTTTATATGACTGATTATTTGAAATATCTAAGACTATTCTGCACAATTTACTATCACGAAACCCGCACACCTTGTCTTGAAGTTTTCAAAGTCCAACACAAGCGGCAGACAAGGCATTTAAATGCAAAATGTCAACACTTGCCATTTGATACAGACGCCACAAAAAAGTTGGAGACTGGTGGTGGTGACATAATAAAAGACGTAATAATAAACCAAATGAATTAACACTATGTACCTTATCAGCAACCTGGGGGTATAGTGCACATGTCTGCTCCCACATACGTCTGGCAATAGCTCCCTTTACAGAGTCATAGTCTTCACCACGATGGTTTATCTTCGTATCCTTCCATTCCTCAAACCACTCCCAGCGTGCAAGAGTTATAACAACACATGTGGATTTACCTGGAAATTAACAGTAAGATATACTTAAATTTACAATTATTGACCTGAGCTCATGTTAATTCACTGCCTATAACATATTTATATACAAAACATATGTAGACTACCATTTAGACTTTACACTGAATTAAAGGTACAAAAAACACAAGTTCTGGATAAAATATAACAAGAGAGTAATTTTTAAACATGTTGTTCCTCTATTTCTTTCCCAAACAATTTTTTCTTTCCTATCAATTTTTTTAAAACATTTATTCCCTAAATTTTCACCAGTAGATCAGCACTTCTTATTAAGCACTCTGGTGTTTATTATAGGACAATGGTAACATTTACTGACCTGGGTACCTCTCATCCCATGTGGGGTCCTTGGTGGATGGGAAAGATATGAAGAGCAGTGGTATTTCAGAGTTGACAGCATCCTGGGCACTGCATTTGAAGAACTCTTCACAAGCCTTATTCACATCAACGCTGAAGGAAAAATTAATAATTAGTACAACATTGAGAAATGTTAATCTTAATAAACATGTTTCCCTACATACAACAACAAAATTTGTTAAGTTAAATCTATTCAAAATTTTTGATTGTAAAAGTTCAACAACATCCATTATCAGGGCCCACATAGAATAATTGTGACAAGCACAATAGGAATGATAGAAAAAGAAAATATAGAAGTAGATTTCTAAAAGCACTTAACTTAGTTAAATAATACATTTAAATACATCATTAGAAATTCACACATAGCTTGGCAAGGTGTGTCTGATTCCAGCCAATCTGAACACAGCATATCATATAACTGCAGTGCAATATATAACCAATCACTGCATCCAAAGTTATTCCTTAATGTGGATGTCAAGGTCACAACTTGACTCTACAGATTTAAATGAATGCTTTGGCACATTGACCCTTTGAATTTAAAATATGTTCTTTTGGTGATTTCTTATCTTGACATGGAAGAAAATATTTTACAGTGAGTGAAAAGACTCAAGCCCAAGACTCATACATTGTGGAATGACCATTTTGTTCAGGCGTTCTGTCCTAAAATTGACACTCGATGCTGTGCATCTCCTGCAAATTTTGGAAAGCAATACCTTCATGGAATGGTCATAAATCTTAAGGCTTAAATCCTTAAATAACATTAATTAAACATAAAATATGTTCTGCTTACTCGCAGTAGGCCCATGTGTTCTGTGCCTTGAGATCAAGTTCATCTTTAGTACCATTCAAACCAACAAAGAGTGACATACATCCCATCCCACTCTGTAGTCTGTTACCCTGACCTACATACTTGTACAGGCCTGAAAATAAAACCAAACAAAAAAAACAGACAAAATAAAATCAATCCTTCATCAAAAATTTACAAAACAAAACTCTGGAATAGGAATATGATATTGGTATGAAAGGCACAATGAGCATCAGTTCTTGATTAATTCTGTATTAATTTTACATTTTTCATATGGTTAGTAGGGGTCTTGGTTATGCTATGGCCTGATCATACTTGATTTGACCATCATGGCTTGAATTAATCATGAATTGTATCTGATGAAAATATAAGTTCAGAAAAAAAGTAGATAATTTCATTATATTACTTGAATTGGTGGCCACCTCCCTGGGCAGTAGTTTGTGTAATGTGTTGATCACCCCAACACCAGATATGATAATTGGTGCAGGGATATCTACGTCTCCACTACTCCTATGTACTCGAACACCTAGAACATTGAACAACAATGTATCATGTATTACACACTGAAATTGCTGATAGTACTTGCTGCTTGATAATATAAGCACCCATTATGTTCACAAGTCTATGGAATATAAAGAAACGGCCAAACATTGAAGAACATGTTTAAACACCGCAGGGCAGATAGTTTTTTCAGACACGAAAAATTTACAATATTTTCTATGGGGATCTATGAATCTATAATGAATAACTTCCCTATAAGGAGCTGTCAAAAATGCACTGATTTGATTACTTTTTTTATTTGCTCATCTCTTTTTAAAATGAATTGAAGGTAAAATTGAATTCATGAGGTACATGTACCTATGGTACTGTGTATGTCTTACCTGTAGCCTTTCCTTCAGAATCTGTGAGAATCTTTGAGACAGGGGCTCTCACAAGGACCTTGCCTCCATTACGCTCTATTGTAGGAATCATATGGAATGCAATCTCACTGGCGCCTCCCTTAGGGTAAGATACTCCGTACAGGAAGTGGTTAATCAACATTGCGTGCATTGCGAATGTGGTCTCCTTTGGGATTGTTCCTGAAATATGGAACAATGTTTATCAAAATTTTCAATAATATGTACAGTATATGCATGAACTCAGTAGCATGGTAATTTGAAATAATTTCAAATTAACAAAAAAACAAAATTTTCATGTCTAATAAAATAACTTTATTTTTGCGATCTCACAATTTTCATCACCTGGAGTGGGTGTACTGTCAATAATTGAAATCAGGTCTAACTGTTCATTAAGTATAATAATTACCATAGTCTCCAAATGGGTAGGCCAGGACAGCCTTCAACTCATCATTAGTAGTCAGAGAGTCCAGGTAGTCTTGGAGACTTATTTTAGATTCTGTGAACCATGTTGTCATCATGTTGACAAGGCCTGTGGCAATCAGTAACTTCACGATCCATTTAGGGAGAACTTTAGTTCCTATGGCACCATAGGTTGCACCTCGCATACTCTGGTGGAAAAGAAGGAGAATATAATACAAATGTGATGTATATACATGTACTTACTACATGTAGCTGCACAAAGTGTAACTGACATAGAATTATGCACCATGATTTAGCACAATACATTGGTTAATACTACTACACTGTCTGGAGATGTTGAGAGCAACCCTGGGCCTAAAGACGATTTGAAGATTTTATTTAGTAATATTAATAGCATTAAGGCAGACTCATTAGCACGGCTGGAGTTTCTTAAAGAATATGCGTTAAGAGAGAATGTCCATATATTGGCACTTTGTGAAACAGGCAATGTTACTCCTGAAGATCTTGAATCTAATATGTTTAATATAAGAGGTTTTGGCAAACCAAAATATTCAACTAATGAGGGTAGAGGTCTCATTCTATGGGCCCATGATACTGTACAGATAAACATTTGTGATCTTAATATGTCAAATGATTTAGGTAATTGCTGGATTACTATTAAAGTTGAACATAAGATTTTCTTTTATGGATTCTTTTACCGTTCACCATCACTTACTGCGAATGAGACTAGACTATACTTATCAAGGGTCAAAGACAATATTTCTAATGTTTTATTGCAGCAGAATGATGGGATCATTATTAATGGTGATTTTAATGCTAGAAACAATGCCTGGTACGTTGATGATATTAATAATATGGCTGGTATAGAATTAAACAATATTTTGACTGATCTTGGACTTCAGCAACTTATTTTTGAACCAACTAGGATTACCAAACATTCTAAGTCATGTATTGATTTATTGATTACAGATTCTGAACATCTTATTTCAAGTTCAGTTGAACCTCCTTTAGGTAACTCTGATCACTGTGCTATCATTACTAAAGTTCGAGTCAATATTCCCAGGGAACCATCCATTAAGAAGACAGTATGGTATTATGATAGTGCTGATATTAATCTGCTAAATCAAAAAATCGCTCTAACTGACTGGAACTTTATCCTTGATACACAAGTCAATGATGCTGCGGTTAGATTTGTTAATTCTATTTTATCAATTTTCAAGGAAGTTGTTCCTAATAAAACAGTCTCCTCAAGGTTTGATGACCAACCATGGTTCACCAGTAAAATCAAAAAAGAGATATATAAAAGAAACAAATTGCATCATAAATTTAAATCTACAAATAATCCCACGTTCAGAGAAAAATATATTACGCAAAATCAACTAGTCAATCAACTAATTCATGAGGCCAAGGCAGAACATGAAATAAAAATAAAAAATAAGTTAGATAATATATCAAAAAATTCTATTGACTACTGGGTACTAATTAAAGAGCTTCTTGGAAAAAACCAAGTCTCCTCTATACCCATCCTTTTCAACCCAACATCAAATTCAGCAGCTGTTAATAGTATTGATAAAGCTAATGTACTTATGAAATATTTTGTCAATAAGAACATTGTAAATATCAATGAAAATTATATTCCCTTTTTTAGACCAAGAACTCAAAGTATCCTAGCTGAGATGTCAACCTCACCTGAAGAGATTTTACATCTAATTAATGATATTGATGTCACTAAAGCACATGGTCCTGATGAGATATCCAATAAAATGCTCAAATTATGTGCACATTCTATAGCAGATCCACTTTCATTACTATTTAACAGAATTTTTCAAGACAACATTTTTCCTGACATTTGGAAAGAGGGTACAATAGTTCCAATATTTAAAAAGGGAGACAGAGCACTAGTTACTAATTACAGACCAGTTACTCTTCTAAGTTCAATCTCTAAAATCTTGGAATCTATAATTCATAAAAGACTATATTCTCACCTCGTGCAACATGATCTTATTTATAGGCTTCAGAGTGGGTTCTTACCCAAACATAGTACTGTCAATCAGCTTATTAATATAGTTCATGATATTCATGAACACATTGATGATAACAAGAATGTAAGATCAGTATTTTTGGATTTAACATCAGCTTTTGATTTAGTTCCACATAAACTATTAATTTCAAAACTTAAGGGATACGGTTGTAATGATAAATTTATCAATTTAATGTCCTCATACTTAGATAACAGAAGAGTAAGAGTCCGCGTGAATGGCACCCTTTCAAAATGGTCTTCAAATAATATTAACAATCAAAATGAACCTAATGAGCAGTCTGTGAACTATACCATCAATGCTGGAGTGCCACAAGGGTCTGTCCTTGGACCGTTACTATTTCTAATTTATATAAATGATTTGCCAGATGAATTACTATCAAAATCGTTCATTTTTGCCGATGATACTTCCATTTATTGCCCATATGACAAAAATACAGTGTTTTTCAATATTCATCAACCAATTCAAAGTGATTTGGACAAGCTTGCTCTCTGGGCTGCCACCTGGAAGATGCAATTCAAAGCTCAAAAAAGCGCCGACATCATTTTCTCTAGAAGAAATATTCCTTTTGACCCACCACCATTGAGATTAGGTGCAGATGTTATTCCCAGTTGTGAGAATCACAAACATCTAGGGCTTAATCTTGACAAACACCTTAACTTCAATTACCATATTGATCAGATTATAAAAAGAGTTACCTCACTCCTAAGACCAATGAAAAAATTGAGCAAACTTTTAAATAGTATGCACTTAGAGATAATATATAATACGTATATCATGCCACATTTTGATTATTGCGATGTAATTTACAATAAGGCTTCAAATTTGAAACTACAAGCTCTTGACAGACTCCACTACCGAGCAGCCTGTTTGGTATCTGGTTCTATTCATGGATCCAATACTATTAAAGTCTTAAATTCTTTGAATTGGAAATCCTTATCCGTTAGAAGAATCGAGCACCTAAAAATGTTTGTTTTTAAATGCAGATATAATATCAACCCCCCGTTTATTTGTGATTTACTTCGTAAATATGAGCATATACCTGCCCGTAATTTAAGAGATCAAAGAGATTATTCTCTTCCAACTCGACTGAGCATGTCTTCTAAAAGAAGTACCATATTTCAGGCTATAACATTGTGGAATGATTTGCCACCTGATACTAGAAGGGGTCAACCTATTTCTAGTTTTAAAAGATTAGTGCGAGAGTACAAGAGCCCTGTCTCTTTAATCCCAACTACTAAATTAAATGTGACCTTACCCAGACATCTCGAAATAAAACTTAATAGACTAAGATCTGGCCTCTTATTAAAATCACACCTTTATGCTCACAACTTCAAAGACATTACTGATCCTTTGTGCCATTGTGGTGTACCAATGACAACCATGCATTTTCTTTTAAAATGCCCACTGCTACAGAATGAAAGAAACAACCTCATTGCAGGCCTTCGTATTTACAATTTAAGTGACTTGTTCAATAACTACAACTTGAATGACAAATTACAATTTTTACTGTTTGGAAGCACTAACCTGGATGCTACTATGAATGAAGCTTTAATTCATATTGTTAGCTATTATATACATACAAGCCTTGTTTTATTATCTATCTAGTAGTAATTTGACAAGTCCTTTTTTCTGCAATGACCGAATTATTTTTCAAGTTCCGTTAACATCCTGGCCCATGGGATAACCTTCAGGTATTTTGAAATAACCTTAACAAATTTATCTTATTTCATTATCTAATATCTACATGTATATATAATATATATATTAAATTGCCGCTAATGTTGCAAAACCTTGGCAATTAGAATTTGTAATTGAATGTAAATGTTTATATTAGAAATAAATTGATAACATGAAAAAAAAAAAAAATACTACTACACTGTACAGATACATTGTTGGAATTTCATTCTACAATTCTACTTATAGCTGCTACAGTAGTATTTCAAGTTTCAACAAATATTAGACCTTACATCTACATGTGCAGTAATTCCACCTACCCTTAACTTTTGGACATATGCCTCAATGGCCTTCTGTTCATTTGGAAAGTGTTCAATCAGAGCTTTCTTGAAGTTCTCTCTTCCAGACATGATGGGGTATTTCCTGGCTTTAGCAGCATCTCCTAATGCCACCTATATAGTACAATAATAAACAAGCATCAATTCTAATTTGGGAATATGTGTAGGAATATTGCATTCATCTACTTCCATGTTGTGGAAGGCACAAGGCTGACATCTATTTTACTTTTAGATTGTTACTAGGTTTTCAAAAATCAATATTAGGCTGAAATCTTGAGGTATCATCCAAAATGGCACAGCCCGAATCCATCTCAAATTCTGTTCTAGTCACATAATAATTCTATTTTTACTTACAATATCATAGCAGTCTTCCAGGTCGACCCATTGTAGCTGGCCATCAGTCATATGTGTAATTAAGGTCTTAGTAAGAGTTTCGGACCGCATCTCTCCAATATAATGGATACCTAAGAATACAGAACAGTTACCAACCTTTATGATGTCACAAACTATTGCATTATGGTACTCTGGTAGATTGGTTTTAGAATAAACAAGCCTTAGAAATGTACACTCTATGTATGATTGATAAACAGGAGAAGATTTTTTACAATTGTCTTTCATTGTCATCTATTTCTACAATTTTCTTACCAACATCAAACTCAAAGCCCTTATCAATGAAGGTGTGGCAGCAGCCTCCAGCTTGGTCATGTTGTTCTAAGACAAGAACTTTCTTGCCTGCACTGGAGAGTAATGACGCTGTGGTGAGACCTCCTATACCACTACCTATTACTATAGCATCATAGGCCTCAGTCAGCTTTTTTGTAACAAATCCTGAAAATGAAAAATGTTTAATAGCATGTTGCCCAATGCCTACATATCAAGGATGGTTTTTTTTGATAAGCTGAATGCTGCATACAGTTAATGTTGCCCTTTTCATTCGTTTGACCATGAGTAATGTTTATTTTTGTGAAATAGTGCTTCTCATTTTACTAGATATAGTATAAATGAACATTTAGCACAATAATATTATGTTACATCGCTTGATGTTATGTGTTTTTATATTATTGTCAAGTATCAGTTTCATTTTATCGCGGAAAAATGGTTGGATCCAGAACTTGCAATATAGGAAAGAATAGCAAGGAGGTTAAACCTAATAACAGCCCCAAGAAAATTCCTAATAGTAAAGAACGTCCTTATTGAGTTTAACAACGTTGAACTAGACATTATTAAGACATCTTTCTTTTCGCCGATTTGTCGAGAAAATGTCAGCGGCTCGGTTTGAATTGATTTATGACTAATACATATGACTTGACTACCACCAGTAGTGAACTGTAAACTTGTCTTCACTATTCAGACGTTACTTTACGTTTAGTTGTAAACTTGTTTACCTTGTTTGAGAACCTTGTCCCTTGCTTTCAAGTCTGTAACCAATGGCTCTGACTTTCTCAAATATTTGGAATAAAATGGATTTGATCCTGGCTTAGAACCACCCAGAAATATGGACAAGACACTCACGAAAATTACCAGAACTGTTACAGCAGCAACAAATGCTGGATTGGCCGCAATGAAGCCGAAAATCTCAGAAAATATCATTTTGAAAGTTTTTACAACTTCCTAAATTTTCGCCCCTCTCAAAGAAAGAGCTCTGCACAAGGGATCCTTTGTATATGGTTTTCAAATTGCTCTTATTGTAATTTAATTTGATTTAAATGAGATTGTATGAAACCTTTAATATATTTAATCATACTGTTACCAGTTCTAATCCGAAATAGTCTATTTGTTGCTTTTTATTGTTTATTAGGGATAAAATATATCTATTTGGAAATTCTTTAATGAACACTCAATTTTTAACTAGGTCAAACACTCAAAACATTGAACATTGGCCAGGTAAACTTCCCTGTGCCTTCTTAGTATACAGGGTCCAAACATCAACTCAGGTAAGATTGAACTTTATCAGAACAACGCAATCGCATGATTCATTCTAAGAACCTGATCACTTGACATCTGATCTCTGTGCTTCCAACTAATTAGATTAGATTTCGACATTCATTTTGTTCATGTGCAAATGGTTGGAAATAAAAGTAATCTCATTTTTGCCTGCAAAAACTTAAAATACATGTATGTGTTCCTCATAAGTGCTAGACGGAGTCCACTGAAACTTGCATGCCAATATGTATGCAGACAATGAACTTTAACGACTATTTGATCATTTTCAGATATGCACTGGCGAATCTGGGGGGGGTCTATTATCCCGTTCCAGGACTATAGTCCTGTACTGAGCGCATACATCTGCCTGTACGATTACAACTTGGGAGAATTATCTATGCCCCTTCCACTTAAAAAACCTCCCTCAATGCATTCTAGAACTCAAAATGTAAATTCTAATATATTGGAACCGCCGATTGTCTGGGTTAGTTGGCAGAACGAGGTCTTTTTGTTTCTTATGGCTCTTTTGGTCGAAGTTCGATTAAGATGGCGGTTATAACGGAATTTCCCGAACTTTTCCGTAATAGCACGAACTTGGTATTTCGTTACGTCACTTTTGTGTAAAATGGATTTGTTTCCGGTAAGAGGGAATTTCGAAAATTTCGGACAATATTTTCAATATTTACTGCCATGTCGACATCCTATGCTCTTAACTGTATACCGAATGGTTAACCTCTTGAATACCAACCTCTAAAAGGGTTTGAAACCAGAGCATTTTTCATTTTCTGCTAGTTTTCTGGATATTTACATCTAAAAACACTATGTTTGATATTTGATGTGATAAGAATAGTAAACATAGACCCATGACATACATTCTAAAACATAAGTTGTGAAGATTGGATAAAAAATGCCAAAGTTTGTGACAGATATATCCTTCATTCTGGGTATTCAAGAGGTTAAACAATGCTTCTTACCGGAAACAAATCCATTTAAACACGGAAGTGACGTAACAAATCAGAATATGTGATTATAATCACCTGTACTATCATGTAGTTGTTGTAATATTTCTTCTTTACAATTCAGGATGGCTGCATCAAGGAGCCCGCCAGGTGGAGGTATATATGTGGCGCCACCTGGACAGAAGACATTCCAATATGACGAAGGACTACCATCACTCCCTATACCCAAACTTGAACAAACACTGAAGAAGTACTTGGAATCAGGTACTTTGATTTATTCTTAATATTCCCTTGACCTTCCCTGACCCTGACATATGGGAGAGTTTGAGGGTTTGTTGATCCTCAATGTTCTCTATATTTTAAAGAAATGTAGTTACTTTAACTGTTATGTAAGGTGAGAGTCAATATGCCATATACGATGTACAATTTATACTTATTTGTACTTATTTACAACTTATTTATTTTATTATAATTATTTTCAATAATTCTCTTCAAAGTCCATGCTACAATTTATAATTTGTACTTTTAAAATGATTGTCCTATGACATATATATTTAGGGACTTTGACCCATAGACAAAAATGTGACATTGACTTTCTACGACCTCATTATATTTGCCTGATCTGATCTTGAGACTATACCAGACAAGCACAAGTTCTCTTTTAGAGAATTAACAGTATTCTGAATAAGTAATGAATATTACCACTTCCGTGTAATTATTTGATCATGGTATATTAAAATTGTTATGTATAAGTCACCCTCTGTACATTATTGTTAATAATATGTTGTGAAATGAATTACATTGCATTTTTACATTGCATTATATATTACTATGCTAGTTGCTTTGTATTAACACATTGAATGGTAGTTTTTTGCAATTGCATTCCATTATAGCATAATACAGTTTTATGTTTTTAGTGAAACCATTTGTGACCGAAGAGGAGTTCAGACAAACAGAATTCATTGTGCAACAGTTTGGAAGTGGAATTGGGAAAACACTCCACAAAAAGTTATTAGAAAAAGCAAATCATTCCAGAAATTGGGTACGTTAAAAACTGGGACACTATTTGAATACAGGATTATAAAGTTTATAATATGTGTTAATCAGTATCGAAGCTTGTATTCGTGAATGCAACTAGTGCCTGTTGGGCACCAGATTGACCTATACTTTTAAGGGCAACACATTTAAATATGAATATTACCTGCCACTATTCCATTCATATTTAAATGAGTTGGTCATAAAATAGTAAGTTAATCCGGTAGCCGCTAGCCGTTATTCGTGAATACAAGCTAAGATTGGGTTGGAGGCAAATATTTGTCAAACTTACCTTCCATTAAATCAGTCGATTGCTTATTTAAAGGCTATAAGGTAATATAAAAACTTTCATATTCCTCAATGATTTTACCTTTTAACATTAAACACCTGAAAATGGATAGATGAATCTAAAAAATCAATCAATCCAATGAATCTTTTTAAATATGAAATATCTGATATATACTGACATAGAGATAAATTAAAATTACAATTCTTTTCAGCTAGAAAAATGGTGGGAAGACTTTGCATATCTCTCTTGGAGGAAACCCATAGCTCCTCTCGTAAACTTCACTGGACCAGCACCATATATGGACAAAGTTTGGCCAGCAAAGTATGGAACACAAATTGAGAGGGCATCGCTTGTTCTGTATTATAGTTTGGTCTATTGGAAACTTCTCAGGAAGTAAGTTGCAATATTGTTCCCTAAGTTTGTTTTCAACTCAAGCTAGTCTGTTGATTTTAGTGAAGCTATGAGACATTGATCTCCCAAATATTAGATTATCCGGGTCCTGCATTTTGCTCTAAAATCTGAAAATTACATGCCACCTTGATGACACTCTGTCAAAAGTGGGAAATACATGTTTTGAGATATTTAGGCAAAATTAGAATTGAGCACCCTACAGTATTGGGAAATCATGGGGGGAACACTACATGTAAAACCATTTATTGTTCTGTATATGTGGAAAAAGTTTTAACTAGTTTTGTCAAAGCAGATAAAATGGAGGCTAAGAACTTTGGTCATCTCATTTCATATTGTTTAATTTGTTGATTAAGTATAAATATTCGTAATTAGATCCGTTGAAAACCTACTTGAACAGTAATCCACAGGGGTCATATTTTGTACACATTCACATACAAGTTCTCTTTAAAGTATGTAACTTAACCTCCCTAATATCATGATCTTTTCTAATTCTGTATACTGCACATGGTCCTTTTGAAAGTAAGAGATATTAAAGAAATAGTTCATTAGGATTTGTGACTTTTTACTTTTTAGTTTGAGACTAAACAATATTTTTCACGCACAATTTTTAATTCAAGAGGGTAAATTGTGTAGCAATATTTGTGTTATGCTACTTTCTTTTCCTTATTTCATTTAGGCAGCAGATCAAGCCTGATATATTTGGGAAGACCCCTTGGAGTATGAGTCAATATATGCGCATATTTAACGGATGTAGGACCCCTGGGGAACACATGGATAAATTGAACTTTTATTTTAAACTAGGTATGCACCACACATGTATACTGTAATTCTGAAACATTTTCACTCGTATAGTTGATTTTCAGTATATTATGGTATCAATGACATATATTCAGTGATATTAATCACATTAAGATACAGGGGGTAAAGTCCAGTATGTCTTGTTAATATACATAAAAGTGACTTTGAATTTGGAGATTCATCAATCTGAAGTTCATTAAATGATATCTTGTACATAAAAGACTCTGTAAAATTGTTTTTAAAAGAGTCTAAAATTTCTCAACATTATCGCTCACTTGAAACCAATTTTCTCTGATTTACCACATTATTAATGTTACCACTTTTACATTTGTAAAGAGGATCCATATTTAGAATTTGTTCTTTTATATATAATTAGAAGACCAAGGGCCATGTCCTACCCACATCATAGTGATATGTAGAGGCAGGTTCTTCACATTGAATGTCATTGATGAGACTGGGGAGCCTTATACAGCTCCTGAGCTTCAAAAGATGCTGCAACATGTACATGATAACTGCAACTCTAGGCCTGCTGGACCAGGGCTAGGGAGCCTCACTTCCGAATATAGGACCACATGGTGGAGGGTATGTAAGATTCTATGAATGTAGTCTTCTCCAAAGGATGGTACATGTGAATGTGAATGAGGAAATCGTCAAATTAAGGCTTATATTTAGTTGCTTTAATGAATTGTCTAATAGTTTTATCCCGGGAGTTTTATACAATTGAACAATTTTTCAAGAAGTCAGCAGTTCAGACTCACTGTCACCTATGAAGGAACAATACAATGAAATATATTTTTAGTAACCTAATACTGAGGAACTGTACATGGATTTCGTTAGAAAAGTGTTAAAATTAATAACAAGTTGTTATGACATCTTGAATGGCAAGTAATGTTATACTTTTTACATGTTTGAGGAATAATACATTTGATATTTCAGGCAAGAGAACACTTAGTTGAAATCCACCCTAATAATCTTGCCAACCTTGAGACCATACAGACTTCCATTATGACAGTGTGTCTGGATGACAGGTCTCCTGGTTATTCAAAGTCAGAGCTCACCATGGTAAGAATCTTTATCAATTGCAATATATATGGAGACATGATAATATGATCATGTGCCAGGTGTTTATGTATATTTCAATGTACTATGTAGTACTAATCATGTTGGTTAATTTAAAACATAGGATCAAATCTATTTTCATAACTGTCTTGTTATGGCCTAGTCACATAGCCCGGCCGATGTCCGGCATCGGTAGAGCTCGGTGGATTTTTTTGGTGCCACCGAGCTCTCCTCATCGGAAGCAGAGCTCGGTGACGTGAACGGACTCCCTCCGGACATCTTCAGGCGACCGACCGAACACCGGCCGGTGACCGTACGGAGTCTGTCTCAAAATGGTAGTTTTTTTCTGCCGATGTGGCAGCAACTACCGGCCGGAGGTCGGCCGGACATCGGAAGGAATACGGCCGGTACCCAAGCAGGTAACAGGACACCGTGCGATCGCCGGCCGGGTTGTTAACGGGCTTTGAACAGTGACCGGCCGATGCTCTGTCCCACATCGGCCGGAGCTCGGTCGGAGCTCGGCCGCTGTCCGTTAAAAAACCTCGTCCTCTGGTTGTCTCAGATGCACGGAACACCGGCCGATACTCGGCCGTGCACCGGCCGACGTGTTTTCCGATGTGGTTACGATGGGGCTGCGATGACATGATGGGGGAGCTCGGTGAGAACCCGGTGAAATTTAACTCCAAGGTTAAAATTTCACCGAGCTACCACCGATGCGGTTTTAAGCAACAAACGCCACGGATGTCCGGCCGGTGTCCGGCCGGTGTTCGGCCGAGTTCGGTGAAAATTGCATCGCTGGCTCATCGTAACCTCATCGGCCGGGCTATGTGACTAGGCCATTAAAGGGTAAAGTTATATAACAATGCTGATCTATTGTTGCAGATAGCAGAGGAAGGTCTATGTGGAGATTGTACTAATAGATGGTTTGATAAAACTTTCAATATGATTGTCTATGCCAATGGTGTTGTCTCATCAAATAATGATGTAAGTACAACTTACAAATAACTAAAATAAATACTCAATGACCCTCTGTATAAATGCTGTGAATCTTCACTCTACTGACCTATTTTATTGTTTATACAATCCAACATACTGTTTTGTTGGTTTAAAGTGGAGTGCAAACTGAATGTAGGGATATAATTGTTTTCTTGAAAGGCATGGTGTAGTTTGAGATCCCTGTGCTATGAACTGGAATTAGAAGTAATTCTTAAACTCAAAGGTTGAAAGCTAGGTAGCCTAAGTCTTGTTACATTTTGAAATTATTTTACTAAATAAACATTGTACTAAATAATCTGCATTCCAGCATGCTCCAATGGATGCCATTGTTGTACTCTTCGAGACGCATTACTGTCTGCTGGAGATTGAGAAAGCAGGTGGAAAGTGGAACGTAAGTGAACTTCTTCCAATAACAGAAATTAAACACCTTGCTTTAGTGAAGTGACACTTGGTGAAAGTTTCAGCACAAATCTTTATCTATTGTTCAAATACTCCTCCTTCACTTTGGTATTCTTTATAATGTCAAGTTGTCAACCCTTTCAAGATTACACTATCCTGCAGTATCTTTCAGAAAATTATATTTTAATTCTCTAATGAATATTTGTATATTCATGTTACTGATGTTATTGATCCTGGTTTTCTTTGTGCAGGGGTCGACTGCAATAAGAGAAAACCTACCAATTGCTCAAGAACTTGTCTTCAAACTTGATGACTACATATATAAAGCAATAGATGATGCCAAAGTCACCTTTTCTAAAATGGTAGGTACAATATGGTTAGTGTTTAATTATAAATTAAATGACCCTAATTCATGGCTATACTTTTAATTGACACACTCTCTGCTCAATTCAAATATGGATATGACTAAACCAAGAATTCACATGTGATTTGCTCAATATTTAGGTAGAAAACATTGACTTTTGTGTACCGTATTATTCGGCTTATGGACGAAAGTACTTACGATCGTTAAAACTTGCGCCCGACACCCATATGCAAATGGCACTTCAGTTGGCTTACTACAGAATGCATAACAAGTAAGTACTGAGTCATATTTGTTATTATTATTCAATGCTTTATTGTACTAAAAATCCCTTTCGGGTGAGTGTACAGCAAATAAACATGATAAAATAAAACTAAAACTATACATACAATTACAATAACATACAATGCAAATTTTACATGGCATATAATGACAATATAATGTGATTGACTGATCATTAGATATATACCAACAACTACTATTAGCCTACACCTACATGTATATATTTATATTGATAATATAGTTGTTGATCTCTTTTCAATTATTTCATAAAGGTATTTTGCAAAGGTGATACACATGTTACCCTCAGCATTAAACATATAATGAGCCTTTTCTTCGGTAGTCAATACAGTTAGATTTGGGCAAATCGAGTTAAACGTATCAAAGTATTCATATCTCATTTTTTCCAATTTTTGGCACTCAAAAATAAAATGAATTTCCGTACCAGTGGTGATTTTACATAATTTGCATTTTCTTTGATCTCTCGGAACTATTGGTCTTGTATACCTTCCTCGCTCTATTTCTAAATTGTGTGCACTTATTCTTAATCGCGTCATAGATTTCCTATGTTCGGCGTTCTTTATTAAATTCAAATATGGTTCTTTTCCCCATCGTTGTTTGATATTATTCAAAAATTCTAATTTCCCTTTATTATCATTGACAGTTTTTTCCCAATATTTTATATATCTTTTTTCAAGGATTTTCTTAATATCAAGCGGTTTACTTTTAATGTAATTTTTATCTTGTGGTTGAACATATGCCATTATTTTATCAATGTCATAGTACCATGATGGTTGATTATGAACTTTTGATAGTTCAATACTATCTGCATATGCATTAATTAGTAATGAACTCGTTCCTTCATTTTCTATATGATCTAAGTATTTAACTTGTTGGTAAAATATATTGATATACATATTTTGTTATACATATTTTCTAAATATCTTCATACAAAGTTTAACATACCTACATGAGAAAAAAAGAATTGTACTGAAGTTAATCTAGCAATATAACTGAAGTCTATAAAGTACAGGGTGGTCCAAAAAAAATGGGACACTCGCATTTCAAAAATAAATATTGATCTTCTTGACGAAAACATGTCATATTATATACCAATGGATAGGGAATTTACTCATCTTTAATTTGGTATATCATAAGTGCAAATTTATTATAATGTCTGTCAACCATCGTCCATAATATAAATGACGTCATTTTCGTTTCAAAACCGTTTTTTTTGCCAAGTTTTATTGTCAACTTCAATCACATAAACAGACGTTCAATACTTGTATGTCCATCATTTTGATCAATTGTAGCCCTCAATTTTGGCCTAAACTGGTCAATAGTATCATTGATATGCTGTTGAGACAACGAATTTCACTTCTCAACAATTCTATCCTTAGTAAGGGACTGAGTAGATGTAAGGGGTTCATGTTAAACCAATTCTGTTAGTTCTCCCAATATATGGTTGTCGTAGACATTGATATCGGATGATCCAATGTTTTTTGACCATTCTGATATGAGCTCATTTTGGAATCATTATATTACATTTTCCAACAAGATGGGGCTCTAAGCAATAGATCCCACAAGAGTGTCAAATGTTTAAATGAAAATGTGTCTAGATTCATCCCCCCTTAATCACTGCCTCCCCAGATCACCCGATCACCCAACCTCTACGACTACCACGTATGGGGAGAACTAACAGAATTAGTGAACCATAAATCCTTTACATCTATTCAGTCCCTGAAGGACAGAATTATTGAGAGGTGAAATACATTTTCTCAACAGCATATCAATGATCCTATTGATCAGTTTAGGCCAAAATTGAGGGCTACAATTGATCAAAATGATGGACGTCTGTTTATGTAAATAAAGTTGACAATAAAACTTGGTTTTTGCAAGTTTTGGAACACCCGTTTTGAAACGAAAATGATATCATTTTTTATATTATGGACGCTGGTTGACAGACATTATAATGAATTTGAACTTATGATATACCAAATTAAAGATGAGTAAATTCCTTATCCATTGGTATATAACATGACATTTTTTCACCAAGAAAATCAATATTTATTTTTGAAATACGAGTGTCCCCATTTTTTTGGACCACCCTGTATATATAAGTGAAAACTATAAAGTCTTGCCCTTTACTTGTATTTTAGGGAGAAATGATGTAATATATTTATTTGGATTTTAAATATATCTAAAATACCTTATATCCCAGAATAGTCTCTTATTACCTCTAGCTATCACATTTCCAGTAGTTTACCAGGCTCAAAATTCAAAAACCACTTAACTTAATTTAAAATAAACCTTTCTAGGAACACCTCAGAAGTGGAACACTGTTTGAGGTTTCAAAGGTTTCCCTTACACAGGTTTTACTGTATTATTTTTTCAGACCAGCCCCTACCTATGAAACAGCAAGCACCAGGAAGTTCTACAATGCACGTACAGAGACTATGAGGACTTGTACAGTGGAGATGGTAGATTGGTGTAAGACTATGCTTGACCCAACCCAAACAGTAAGAGCCTGTATCATCATTTCCACAAAAAAATATCATGTATGATCTTTTAGAAAAGGCTTGAGGTTTTGACCTGAGATAATGTTCACTAAGAATTGCAAATACATGTAGATTGAAAGTTAATGGAAAGTAGGTCATATTTCTGAAACATATAGATTTAAGGGAGAATGCTTTAAGGTAATGTTAGTTGTTGGGAAAACAAATGGATGTAAAAATCACTTTGGACTATTGGGATTTTGGGTAATTTATGAAATGTTCTGAATTTTCTAGAATGAGCATAAACTGCAGAAATATCTGACTGCTTATAACAAGCACAACCAACTTTTCTCAGAGGCCATGGACAATCATGGTGAGTCTTATACTTAATGTCCTAGTAGCATGTATGCTAAAATGAAGTGTAAGGCTTCTATGCAACAGAAGGATAATAGGAGTAGGAGTATTAGAGCATACAAGATTTATTAAAACACATTTGAGATTTTTCCATGTTGCCTTTGACAGTTTCAATCAGTTTATCATTGCATTTGATTCTTACAGGTGTAGATCGTCATTTGTTTGGCCTGCAGTGCATTGCCATGGAAACAGGAACTCCAGATCCTCTTCTTTTTACTGATCCATCTTACACTAAAAGGTAAATGTTTGGTTGAAAACGTTGAGTTAAATATAAAATGTTCACATTATGCACAACATTTATAAATCAATCAACTTGTATCAGGATGTTTTTATTGTCAACCAATTTATTAAATAATTTCTAGGATTTGATATATTTTTGTACTAATTTTCGCGTTGCTTGTTTCAGTGGTGGAGGTGGGAACTACATTCTCTCCACAAGTTTCGTAGGGTATTCTGGGATACATGGAGGTGTTGCACCCATGTGTAAGAATGGATATGGAACCTTCTATGGAATGGATCAAAACAGGTGATCATTTGAAATACTAGGATAGAGAACCAGGCATTTTTCTATTAATTAACCAACATTGAGATCAGTGCAATATAATCATCCAGTCTACTATCAATGTTATTTATTTTTTCTTACCCCTCCCAGTCAAGTCATTCATGCAAAATAACAAATTGTAAATACTTGACCCAATCATCTTCAGCTTATTTGTCAAATTGTGTTAATCAAAATGAAATTTGAGATTTTGTTTGGAATGAGAAGTTGCACCATTGGCTTTCCTGAACTTAATCATGGGTTATGCAGTTGGATATCAGTTAATGATAGGATATTATGAATAAATTTCAGTTTAGTTCAATATCTTCTTTTGGGTAATAATAGCATGGCCGTAGCCAGGGGGATACCATGGGTGTGACCACACCCCTCCCCCCACCCCAACAAAAAAGAAAAAAGCAATTTTGCAAAATTTGTTGAAAAAAACATGAACAAATTATAGTTTGAAATGTTAAGAATGCACCATATACAATGCAAATTTTAAAAAGTTTCCAGTGGTGAACCCCTTACCCCCTTTTTGGGGCTCGCTTCACTTGCACAAATGTAAACCCAAAAATTTGCACCAGCATAGTATCAAGATTATCACATTAACTCAAACAATTTGTTTCACTGGTGATCCGCTCGATTACGCTGGTTACAGAAACGGTTCGTTTAATAACAAAATGTCGGAACGTCGAAGGTACGATTTTTCTTTTTTCCTTATTTCACACATTGTAGGCAGAATCCCCACGACGTTTTTTCTCACAAACATGTATCAGTATCATATATTTTGGAAAATGTACATATTTGCGAAAAACTAGCTCAGAAGACAAAAGAATTGTCGATTTAATTCCTCATTTAAGTAACATAAACGGTTTGGGTTAAAAGTGCAGAACTCAACTGTTTTTCGAAATACCGTTTATGTAACTTAAGTGAGGAATTAAATCGACGATTCTGTTGTCTTCTGAACTATTTGTTCGCAAATATGTGCATTTTCTTAAACATACAGGGCCGTCAGATGGGGGGGTGCGATGGGTGCGACCGCACCCCCCTTTGTCACCCCCCAAAATAAATTTGAAAAAAAAAATTTGAAAAATTTTTTTTTTTGAAAAATATTTTTTTTGTAATTTTTTTTCATTGACTCATACACTTTGAAAGTACCCAGAAAGCACCAAATAGCATCGTAAAATTGTAAAATTTTCTAGGGGTATTGGCCATTCCTCACACCACCCACAAAACAATGGAAAAGTTCTAAATTTATTTTAGAGTTTTGTCTCAGACACTTTTAAAGTGCCCAGATATCATCAAATAGCTCCTTGATATACATTAGTTAGTGTTTCTGGGAGACTTACCCCTCTTGCATCTTGCACTTGCATAACAACCCCCCCCCTCTGGCGCCCCCCCCCCCTTGACCCCCCCCCAAAAAAAAAATTGTGATTTTCTCAAATTCTTTAATTGACTCATACATTTTGAAAGTGCCCAGAAAGCACCAAATAGCGTCGTAAAATTGTAAAATTTTCTAGGGGGAGTGGGCCACCCCTCACACCCCAAACAAAACAATGGAAAAGTTCTGAATTTGTTTTTTGTATTGTCTCAGACACTTTTAAATTGCCCAGACATCATTAAATAGCTCCTTGATAAAGTTAATGATTCTGGAAAACAAACACTTACTCGCCCTCTGGCACCCTTAACACCCCCCCCCCAAAAAAAATTGAGATTTTTCAAATTTTTTTATTGACTCATACCCAGAAAGCACCAAATACCATCTTAAAATTGTAAAATTTTCTTGGGAAACAGGCACTTTTAGGCACATACACTTTTAAAGTGCCCAAACTTCATCGAATAGCACCTTGATATTGTAAATTTTGATATGGGGGACAAACACTTGCTCCCCCTCTGGCACCCCAGCCCCACCTCCCCCTCTGGCACCCCTCCCCCCTTTGACACCCCCAAAATTTGAGAAAAATTGTGATTGTTTTTCAATGTTTTTTATTGACTAATACACTTTAAGAGTGCCCAGAAGCACCAAATATCATCTTTAAATTGTAAAATTTTCTAGGAGAGTTAGCCACCCCTCACATCCCCCACAAAACAAAAGAAAATATTCTGAATTTCATTTATTGTCTCAGACATTTTTTAAGTGCCCAGACATCATCAAATAGCACCTTGATATGGTCAATGTTTCTGGGGGACAACCCCTTGCTCCCCTACTGGCACCCCAACCCACTTCACCCTCTCATTGTCTTTGACACCCCCAAAAGAATTTGAAAAAAATTCACATTTTTCTTATTGACTCATAACGCACAGGCGTACCAGATGGTTGCAAATTCGCTCCAAATACAACCAAATTTCAAAATTTTCCTGGGGGAGAACCCCCAGACCCCCCTGAATGCTAGGTTTTTTATTCACTCAACTCTTATTCCCGTGGTGGTGGCGTACTACTTAGAAACTTACACTTTGAAAGTGCCCAGAAAGCACCAAATAGCATCTCAAAACAGTAAAATTTTCTAGGGGGAGTGGACCACTCCTCACACCCCCCACAAAACAATTGGAACATTTGGAAGTTGCATGCATTTGTTAATTCCAAACCAATATAGGGGGTTGCTCCCCCCCCCCCCCCCCTCTGTCTTACGCGATTTGATTTACGCGGCAAAAAAATGTCAATTTTATATTAGTAAGCTAAAAACCGCACCCCCCTTGGAGAAAAGTGTCTTACGGGCCTGACATATGATACTGATACACATTTGTGATAAAAATATCGTGGGAATTCTGCCTACAACGTGTGAAATAAGGAAAAAAGAAAAATTGTACCTTCGATGTTCCAACATTTTGTTACCAAAACGAACCGTTTCAGTAACCAGCGTAATCGAGTGGATCACCAGTGTTGTTTGAAATATTTAAACACAATGCAAAAATTAGAATATTATGATAATTACGACTACTGCTTATTTTACACAAAATCACATGGAATCATGGAAAGTAGAACTTTCTGTAACATTTACTTGAATTTCTGTCAATTATCTTATATTTCAGGTGCAAGTTCTTTATTGTATCCTGGGTAGAGGATAAGGAGACCGACCCCTGGTTACTATGGGGAAGTCTCAGTAAGGCTCTAGATGAGATGAAGCAGCTCCTTGACGACACCAAGTATAGGCCAAAGCTATAATAATACCTAGCATAGGAGAACCTCAGGGCCATCACGAGGGTATGACTGAATATCCACCTAGCTCAAAATCAAAATGCAGCAATTTTGTTAATTTTTATTTAACTGGGGAAATAGCACCTCGTGTTAGAAAATGCTAAGGTTGTGACCAATCAAATGAATATATTGTAAAGGCCAAAACATATGTGGCCATTTTACAATATGCAATGTCAGGACACAAGAAATGACATTGGCAGATTGATTTAGCTCAATTAGAAATCCACACAAATCATGCAGTATCAACTAATTTATAAAATATATGTAATCAAGTGTGAATTGCATTCGTATTGTACAAATAGGAAGTTCATATAATGATTATAGACTCAGATGTATTGTTGTGAATGACCAGACCAATGGGGGTTTCATTGGCAGTTATGTGATGCAGTCAGTGGGGTCATTTGTCAAAGTACACTCTATTCCAAGGTTTATACTACAGGGTGGGCCAAAAAAACGCCACTTTTCTTTCAAGACACTATAACTTTTTTTTTTCCAACCTACACACCCCAAATTTTGCAGTTATATAGTGCCAGGGGTTCTTAGTAATAATATAATGTAACAAGTCCTTCAACTTGGATTATATTTGATCTAAAAGAGGAGTTCAATTGGTCCTCCACCCTATTTGATGATAGATTTTAGTTTTTTTCAACCTGTCTTTATTGCCAGCTTTAGTTGAGCATTTTTTAGATTGGGTGGCTTTAAACAATCTCCTAGAGACCTTCCCATACCTTATACTCACTGGGGTTTGAATTATGGCTATTAGGTTGACGGTCATCAGGCCGTATCAGTTCAGGAACATTTTGCAAGTTATGCTTATTTCTCATGTCACACCACATGTTTACATGAGACGCTGGTGACATATTTTATTCAAGTAAAAGTGTAAAATTCATGATCCATGGCTAGATAACAACCTCAAGTTTCATTTGGTATGCAAATTATGATTTTGTATCACAAATTAAAAACATTCTAGCATTTTGAAAAAAAGTGGCGTTTTTTTGGCCCACCCTGTACATCAACATCAATATCTTAATGGGTCATTCCTGGCCAGACCATTTCTATCCTTTCTATCCTTATATGATAGCTATAATCATATACATACTTTCCATATTTAGCAAATGTTTTTATATAGTCAATATTGATCATTAAAAATGTAGTGTACATTTCCAGTAAGATGCCATCTTTTAAGATTTCACTAAGGAAGTGATGTCATCAACTCTCTTTCTTTCATAACCTTGTCTGTAACAGTATAGAGAAGTAGCACAAAATCTCTTCTGGACAAGTGGTCCTTACTTTATGTGCAAAGAGAATTCAGTTGATTTTGCAATTCTGAATAGCTCTTTACCTATTGCTATATGCAAAGTTGGACACTACATTTTTAATGATCAATATTGATCATATCAAAACATTTTTCCATGTTTTGCTAAACATGGAAAGTATATATACGTATATGGTTATAGTTACTATATTACGAGAGAGATGGTCTGGCAAGGAATATACCTTTAACTTAATGATGGAAATGGGCAAACATTAAAAAAGATGGAAATGATGTGACGTTATACATGTACATATAGAAAATTGAATCATGAAATACATGTCTTTTTGCTTATTTAGCTTTGAAATATCACTTGGTCTTTGTTAGATTTTAGAAGATTTGCATGTTTGTCTTCAATGTTCATCTATTTGAATTATGTGCATAATATTTTACTAAAACCATGATTTACGCAGTTATTTTCTTGTGTTCAATTTCCTAGGGTTTCTAAATTTTCTAAGAAAAAGTATGACTAAATCCCCATTTACACAATGTTGAAAAGATTTAAAAGTGTAAGGATCACAATCTTTAGGTTAAATCAAAATCCACATGACAACAAGATTATCTAGTATGTCAATGGACCTTTACATTTTGTTCTTGTCTGTTTATTCCATGCTGTGTAATGGTATCTAGCCCAATCGAAACCGCTTCTGTATTTATTCATCTACGCATATATAAGTTTACCCTTCTAAGCCTCTATGCAATACAACATTACAACAGGTGCAGCAATGCAACTTAGACTATCTGAGACTGTAGATTGCTACTTTTACTTTTATTCAGTGTGAAAATTGTGATTTTAGATCAACAATTAAAAAGATCAAAAAAGTGGCATTTTCTGTCCCAACCTGTAAATTGTCATAACTTATATGCTCTTACAGTATAAAGTGCAATGTACATACATGTAGAAATACTGTACTAGTACACAAAAATGCAATGAAGTTAGATTTAAAATTTACTGAGGTGTAAATAATATATATAAAATTGAGTAAATAATCACAACCTGTGACAGGATAAGAGGGCATGTCCTCCCTCAGTAAGATTTTTTAAGATTTTTATGTCACCACCACAAGTATGGAAGGTGCTCGGCATTTGTTACAAATGGCATCTGTAACAAATGGCAGGTGGTGACATTTTGCATATTAATGCCTTGTTTTTCATATAAAAGTCTTAATAATCATTCATTTAAATGTAAAATGTGTATTATTATTTTATTGTAAATAAGATGTAGAATTTTAGTAATGTTTATTCTTTTATCTGTGATTATTATGTAATTAGACAAAATGAGACATTTTTATCTACATTTACTTTGTTATAAATAAATTAGTTTTTCACACAAGACTTGGCGTTTTGACATTCTTTACTTTCTGTTGTATATAGTGGCATTACATTTCTCGAGTCTATAAAATCAACATTATCCAATGTTTCCTTCGATATAGAGCCTATTTTGGAAACTTATTCATAATGGCAGTCTCCAATATGGTTTTATGTACTTTTTTTATAATTTCAATCAAAACCCCAACATTATGTGAGACAATAATTTAAGGGTTATAAGCCATTCTGTTGCTCATATCATCTTTCTGTTTTACTTGAAACATGATCTCAAGGCTGAGAAGAAATGTGATGCCATTATTGCAGCAAGTGAACTCCATGATTAAAAAGTTTCCTTATCCAATTGATAGATGGCACTACAATCATTCCACAAAAACCTACCTTTGAAACTTTTTGAATATGAAATTACATCAATCGGACATCAATTATATTGCAAGTTACAATAAACACTAATATTTAAATTTAACTTAAATCAACTTGACACGCTTGATTTGCATGTTTAAAGGCAGAATCAGATCTAGCGATTACTTTGGTGCTTCATCTTGACAAAAATTGTTTCAATTTTAGAATATTTTGGGCTCATATCATTCCTTGTCATGTCTATTTTCTAAAAATACCCAAAGGAAAGGTATACTTCATCTGAGGAAAACTAAAGACTTTTACAGTAATGCAATCATTTGTCATTTGCAGTGGCGTAGCGTCATATACGCATAAAACGCCATAGCGTACTCTCAAAGTTTAGAGAAAAGTGAATTTTTGATATTGAAATGACCCACGTTTTATATTCTGAAGTAATGGCCTAACATTTTATGAATCCACATTATTTTTTCGTATTTTTCTTATTTTCGTATTTTAAAACGCCCCAGAACGCTTCAAATGCAATCTAATTTTTTCAAATTTTCTTGGGGGAAAGACCCCCCTCAAAGCTCGTTCGCTTCGCTCACTGGTGGCGTACACTCATAAAATACTCACACTACGCTACTGATTTGGTTACCATTTTTATTATTTGGGAGAATTTAAAATTTTCCCCCTTTTTTGCACTTAATCTTAAATAACTTCACCAATTTAAAGCATATCATGGATCTTTTGGGAGATATTATATTTGAAATTGTGAGGAATACATTGTTAGATCAATTATAAATATTGCTTGCAATTTTGTCACTCCCTTAATAGATCTTTTTTAAGAGGAGGAATAACCTAGAATTCAAAGATCCTATCTTTCTTTTTTTTGAAAATCATCTACAAGTTGTCAGGAGTTCAAATCTGACATTAGTTTTAGGATTTGACCTTTACTTGACCTTCAGTGACCTTTGAAAGGTCAAAAAAGTTGATTTTTGGATCTAAATTTTGGTCAGCTTAATCACAAAATACCTTACTGAGCTCTGAATAAGTAAAACTTTCAAGGTCAAAGGTCATCAAACTAGGTCACACAACTGCTATCTAAGTTTCTTAAAGTTCAAGACTACAAATCCAAATCAATATTTTTGTTTGAAAGTCAGGATATATATTCCTCTGAAGGTTCCACACTGTGTGAGCACAGGACCGTGGGTCCTTTATTTATATATGCACTGGTGGATCTTCCCTTTGGGTGGGCCAAAAAAAAAAATTGGACTGAAAATACCATTTAAGGCCTTATTTTTTTAATTTTAGGCCAAATTTTAAAGAAAATTGGCCTTAAAATTTGGGCCCACTTTTCAGTTTTAGCCCCTCTCCCTTCTTGGTTCCCAGATCAACCCCTGATATATATATTTCTATAATAAAATAATCCGAAATAATAATAATGATGATGAAATCCCCAATTTGTCTCCTTCCCAGGCCCGTAAGACACTTTTCTCCAAGGGGGGGTGCGGTTTTTACTAAAGAGAATATGAAATTGTCAATTTTTGCTGCGTAAATCAAATCGCGTTCAGAGGGGGGGGGGGGTCGGTTACCCCCTATATTGAGCCTATTTTGTAGTGTTTTATCGTTTTAGACTAAATATTGAATGAGCAATTTTGGAGAAGCACTGGAAGGTGTGCTAGAAGGGCATAAATGTTTACCCGAAACTTTCCACCAATTCAAGATCACATTCAGTGATTTCTGGACACTTTAAGGTGTTTTAATCAGAATCAATTTAAAGAAATTTAGATTTTTCAAGATGCTGTCTGATTAATTCTGAGCACTTTTAATGTGTTTGAGTAAATGAATGCTTTAGTTTTTTTAGGGTGGGGTGCCAGAAATTTTTATGATTTCATTATGTCACTTGGTGACTGTTTAAGTGTCCAAACTGTCCAATTGATTTGTATGGGGTGTGAGGAGTGGCCCACTCCCCGTAGAATATTTTACACTTTTGAGATACTATTTGGTGCTTTCTAGGCACTTTCAAAGTGTATGAGTCAATAAAAAAGGGAATTCTTTCGGGGGTGTCAAAAAGGATGAGAGGGTGAAGTGTGGGGTGCCAGAGGGGGACCAAGTGGTTGTCTCCCAGAAACATTGACCATATATATATATCTTTTATTGACTCTTAGAATGTCATAGTATGACATATTAGTCAGTACAAAAATAAAATAAAAACTTACTACACTACACTACATTACACTACACTACACTATTATTATACAAATACAATATATACAAAAACATGTTATTAACATGTATTTAACTATACATAATACTTAAAGCAGTGTGATGCATCCAGAATGTTCTTCAGACAAGTTCAATGACTTTGAATGCTTTATTTATAAAAATGCCAACTTGCTTTTGGACATATTTATCTTTTGAGGACATTAACATTATGAATGCATTTTCAGGATGGTATTTA